CCATCATTCACGGCGAAGCTAATCCTGCAATTTCCAAGGTATGTGAACGCTTTTGATTTTAGATTCTGTCTTTATGTGTTTGCGCATTGTTGATGGAGAATCCTACATGCCATCTCAAAAAAATTCAGATCTATGCTTGTTAGGTTCTTTTCCTCGACGAAGTCGGAGTTTAATTTCCATCATTTGTTGATGATTTTTTTCTGCTTTTTTGGCCGCTGTTTCTTCTCTTAGGAGGTCTGTTCTGATTATCCTTGAAAATTGGTTAATTTCCTTGTAAAACAACAAAAACTGGTTAATCTTTAGTGTTGTTTTTTTTTGTCTCTGTAACTAGTAATCTTAAGTTATGTTTGATTCATTAGTTTGGGTAAGATAACGAAATAGTAGTCAAGGGGGTTTATGTATCACCCAAATTAGAGGTTAATGCATTACTGCTGCAGATTTGCTTTTACCAACTCTTAATCTGAATTCTTTTGTATTGAGTTTTAAGTGAGGTTAATGCAATGAAATTTAGCTTACTGCATCACTGCTGAAGATGATGATCTAATTTCAGGTATGAACTCCGCCTTTGAAACAAGACTTCTTTTTCTTGTTAAGAATGTTTATTAAGAATTATGTTCGTTCGTATATCAGCTTCTCACATCAGTTTTCTTTATAATGTGTGTTTCATTTGGTGTTTGGGTTCCTTTAGCTGTATAACCTTAGGGTTTAGTGTTCTATTTAGAGTGTTTTTAATTTTTTTCTTGAGCTCTTCTACTAATACTCCTTAGGGTATAGTTTTTTCCTTGATACATGTGTGTTTCATCTGGTCCTTGGGTTCCCTTGCGTACAATCCTTAGGGTATAGTTTTTTCCTTGATGCATGTGTGTTTTATTTGGTCCTTGGGTTCCCTTAGTTACAATCCTTAGGGTATAGTGTTTTCTTAATACATATGTTATTCTCTTTTGCGTTCTTTATGGCTTATTGGTTTACTTTAATCCATGTATGTTGTAAGTAAAATGGCTTCTAGCGGTAGTCAAACTCCTCATTAAGTCGCATGAGGTTAATATATACATTCATGCTCTAGTTCATGACTTTCTTAATTAATCTATGATTGCTTCTTATATGTTAACTTATATGAAATGTTTATTTCAGGGTTTTATTGATGGTAAGTATGATGATCTTCTGGAACAATTTTCTCACATGGTTTGTGTCATAGACGAGATGGTTGGAAAGTCAAAGAAGATCTTGAAGGAGTTAGTAGCTTAAGGAACTGATTCTTGTTTTTCATGTTCATAATTGATATATTGTTGTCTTATAAGATTGAGAACGTGGTAAGAGAAATCTACGGCATAAGCTCTGAAAAAACTTTCTCCAAGCATCATCATCTGAATCAAATAATGTTAAAATTCCCAAAGCACCAGCACCATTAACATCTGAAGCAAACTTTCCCAAAGCACCATAACAGTATTTCTGAATCAAACTCCCCCAAAGCAAAGCCAATTCTCCGACTCGTCTAAGAAATTCAAGCGCCAGAAATCACCCTCGTTTTGATAGGGTTAGTTTCGGCAGTTTGCTTCATCCAAAATGCCTAGTTTTACAAGCATGGAAAGAAATGCCTTATTTCAAAGTTTTGACACACAAAATGCCTATTTTAACAATAACCCCTTTGATCATTAAAATATGTTACAAAGAGAAAAATCATTAGTCTCTTATGGTTGTTTGAGAAAATCTAATGGAAGAAGAAAACGATCACGATGTGGCTAAAACCATGCTTTGTCTACTTAAGATAATACAATAACAAAGATTTTTGCCGGCTTAACGACCGGACCGGCGTATCTTTTAAATCATTATTTTTGACTAAAATACAATTTTTTTTCTTCTGTTACAAAAGATTCTGTTTTACGGATAGAGACAAAACTTTTTTCAACAATGGCTGAGATGATAAATGTTTTGGTTTTTCTGCTTCGTGTGAAACACATAGATCTCTTTGAAGACGATGATAAGAAGAAGAAGAAGTGAAGAACCATTTGCTCGACTCCTTTGATTAGAAAACTTTCTCATTCTTTGTTCTTCTCAACCGGGAAAGTCAACATAACCGGCACTCGGGCCCATTGCTTCTTCGTCATCTATCTATCAACGGATTTCAAAGAGGGCATCATAAGCTTTCTACCAGGTTTGACCAACCTTAAAGCTTTGAACACCTCTAGGAGTGATTGCTTTCTTGTTGAAACATTCTGAGTGCAACGTGCTGAGAGATGATGGCTTGTTTCTTGCGAAAGAAACGGTGTATGAAAGGTAAACTCTCATGGAAGTCGAAGAAGAGAGATTTGTCTCCTTCAGGTAACTGGGCACTTGAAGATGATGATGTTGAAGGGAAGATCGTGTTCTTTGGAGGAAGTAACTATACCTTTGATTTGGATGATTTGTTAGCTTCATCTGCTGAAATTTTGGGGAAAGGTGTTTTTGCTACAACCTACAAAGTAGCTGTGGAGGACACGGCCACGGTAGTAGTGAAGAGATTTGAAGAAGTGGTTGTGGGAAGACGAGAGTTTGAGCAACAAATGGAGATCGTCGGTAGAATCAGGCATGATAATGTGGCTGAGCTTAAAGCTTACTACTATTCCAAAAACGATAAGCTCGCTGTTTACAGCTATTACAGTCAAGGAAACCTATTCAAGATGCTGCACGGTAAGCTATCTCTGTTTTTTCCATAGGTCTATATTCCTTAAGTCTGCCTCGAGAAATCAAGAAGTCAACTTTTGCAGGAGATAAAGGAGAGAACGGAGTACCTCTAGATTGGGAGTCCCGGTTAAGAATCGCCATTGGTGCAGCAAGAGGGTTGGCTATAATCCATGAAGCAGACGGCGGGAAGTTTGTCCATGGGAACATCAAATCCTCCAACATCTTCATCGACTCGCAATGCAATGGCTGCATATGTGATCTCGGCTTAACACTCATCATGAGATCTCTCCCTCAGACTAACTTGCGTTCTTCGGGTTACCACGCACCTGAGATAACAGACACGAGAAAATCCACACAGTTCTCTGATGTATACAGCTTCGGTGTGGTATTACTGGAGCTCCTAACAGGGAAATCACCAGCGAGTCCACTATCACGAGAAGAAGACATGGACTTGGCGAGCTGGATAAGGTCAGTGGTTTCGGAAGAGTGGACAGGAGAAGTATTCGACATAGAGCTAATGAGGCAAATGGGTATAGACGAGGAAATGGTAGAAATGTTGCAAATAGGTTTGGCTTGTGTTGCCTTGAAACCTCAAGATCGACCTCATATAACACATGTTGTAAAAATGATACAAGACATTCGAACAATTGAATGATGCAGAATGAGAAATCATAAGCCTTAAACGCATTGTTCCACCATTTACTTACTAAATTGATGTATATGAACATTGTTGAAGAACCAAACTTATTCCCAGATTTCAAAAACGTAAAATTCGATTTCACATCATATCATAAGAGTCAATACATAACCATAGAGAAAGTATTCAAAACTAGCTACTTAAGAAAAAGCATAAAAGTAGATTCGGCGAATCCAAGAACACGCAAACCAACCAGAAGAAGATGGATTCGATTCGATTCGACTGATCAAAGCTTCGTTGATGATGAATCAAACAGGGCTAAGGAGCTGGTAGAGATGAGGTTTGGGATCGGAGTTCATGCCGATGATGATGATCAGAGGGATGAAGCCATAGTGAGTCGCGACTTTGGCCTTCTTCAATGACCAATTGCTCCATTCCTTAACGAATTCAAACTTGGATTTGCCATCGGAAGAGGAAGCTCCCTTTGATGGTTTGCCTTTTCCTTTGGGCCTCAACGAGATTGTCGACTCCATTGATTCCGATCTCACAGGAATTTTTCTCTCGGTTGCGGAGATGATTTTGTTGTTTCTACTCGGAGCCAAAAAACCCTAAATGCCGTCTTAAAATGTTAGCTTTGAAGTCTCTAACTCAGAGAGAGGGTTCCTTGACCAATTTCTCTTAAAGGCATTTTTATTTTTATTTTCCTAATTACAAACTTGGCAAATCTAATTAATTAGGTAAGAATGTAGTTTGTGTCACAACTAGGTTTAAATTTACATATAAGTTTCATGGTAATTTTAGAGTTACAAATAGTATTATGCATATTGTATATACAAGAATGCTCATTAGCTTCAAGACAAGCTAATGTCTCAGTCTTGAGTTACCCATCACTTCTCCTTCACTTGAGTGAAAGATGTGAAAACTATAGTCTTGACAACCAAATCAGTTCAAATCATATAATGGTTTTAACAACAAAGCGTTCAGACAAAAAACTCAACTCTAGTTACAAGTTTTATTTTGTAATAAAGTAGTAAGTTGCATTTTGTAGTCACAAGTATAAAACACCAAAGAGCTTTTCATCTTCTTCTATCAGTCGTCGTAAGCGAAGGTAATCTTTGTACCCCAGAATCTCTTCGTCTCAGGTACCTTCTCTTTCTCCTCCTCTTTCGCCTTCTCTTTCCTCAGAAGGCTTTCTCGTTCGGACCTGAAAAATAAAAAAAAACCCTTGTCATCCCTCCAAGCATACCAGAAACTTCACCCAATGTGCTCTTGACATTTTTAAAAAAACTCAAAAGGCAAATAGTTAAATCCCTTACCAAAGCCTCTCTGCAAGATTGTACCTAATTTTACGAAAAACAATAACGTTAATCTTTCTGTAGTAACATCAAAACTATAGCAATAACTAAAGAAGCATTATGTCTATATGGAAAATCAGTTTACTTGGGTCGGAGAGGGTATGGAGCCATCTCAGCCACGTCTAGAAAAATATTACGATGCCGCAAAGTTTCACCAATCTTAGTTTGCAGCGCCTACAGTGTAAAAGAATTAGTCAGCAATCATACCTCCAAATAATCACTTGTATATTTTTCATCATAAGTATTACACTACTTTTCAAATGACTACATAATTCTTTCATCATTACTGTATTCTACCCTAACCTTCTTTGCTTCGTCAGCTGAAGCAAACTCGACAAAGCCACAGCCCACATGCGCACCCTTGTGGTTCACAATAAGTCGTACACGAGAAACTTCTCCAACATCTTTGAAGAATTTGATGCTGTAAATATGGAAGGTTAAAATATCACTCATTAAAAACTTACTCTACAAGAAGGAAAGATCTAATTAAAAGTGCTACTTACATATGTGATATATTAGTTTTACGAGAGAGATTGGCAACAAAGAGCGTCTTTTTTCTCACATCAACTTCCTGAATTTAATAGTCAGTGTGTTAGCACGACGACTCTAAGGAGAACAGGACTTAAATTACATAACAACAAAACATAGATTCATCCCCATAATATGTGTCATCTTTTAAACTTGTGGCAACAGTTCTGACATATTATGAAGATAATAGGAACAGTTACCTCAACTAAATTGGGAGTTTCATCAAGTCCCTCCACTGTCTCATTTTCTATCAGGAGGCTTTCTCGTTGAAGGTAGTCTTCATACCTGAAATATCAAAAACCCTTGTGATCTCTTCAAGTATACCAAAAACTTCATCCAATGTGCTCTTGATAACAAATTCAAGATGCAAATAGATAAATATCTTACCAAACCTTGTGGTCTATGCAATACCTAATTATCAAAAATAATAGTGTCAGTCTTCGGTAATGGCATAAAAACTCTAGCAATAAGTTACATAAACAAATCTCCAGAACATGTAAAATCAATTTACTTGGGTGGAGGGTATGGAGCTATCTTGGCCACTTCAAGAAAAATCTTGCATTTGTGCAAAGATTCACCATTCTTCTTTTCCAGCGCCTACAGCATAAAAGATTAATCAACAATACTACTTTCAGATAACTACTTGTATAATTGTCATCACAAGAATACACTAGTTTTCAATTGACTACTAAAATACTTTTCATCATTACTATAAACTGCTCTCACCTTCTTAGCTTCGTTAGCAGAAGCAAACTCAACAAAGGCACAGCCCACATGCTTCCCAATGTGGTTTAAAATAAGTCGAACATGAACAACTTCTCCAACATCTTTGAACAGATTGATGCTGTAAAAAATAAAATGGAGGGTAAATAGTCATGAAAAACTTCTCCAAGAAGGAAAGAGGAAATTAAAGGGGCTACTTACATATCTGATATATCAGTTTTGCGAGAGAGATGGGCAACAAATAGCGTATTTTTTCTTACGGCAACTGCCTGAATATAACAGCCAAGGGTTTTAGCAAGACTTTAAGGAGAAAAAAGGACTTCAATTGCAAAACAACATACAGTAGCCTCATCTAAAGATTCATCCCCAGAATAAGTTATATTTCTGACTTTGTGGCAACAGTTCTGTTATTAAAAGCTAAGCTTTTCTTCAGAGCCTGAAAATTTTTGAAGATAAGAAGAACAAGTACCTCAGTAAAATCGGGAGTTTCATCAAGTCTTTCCACTGTCCCATCTTCTTTTTTCAGAAGGCTTCTTCGTCGGAGGTAGTCTTCATAACTGAAATATCAAATATCGTATATGACCATGTAATGTATACCAAAGATATTCACCCAATGTGCTCTTGATAACAACCTCAAGAAGCAAATAGTTAAATCCCTTACCAAAGCTTCTCTGCAAGGATGTACCTAGTTAACAAAAAAAAATAGTGTCAGTCTTTTGTAATCGCCTCAAAGGTCTAACAATAAGTTATAACCAGTGTTACAGAAACATGAAAGTCAACTTACTTGGGTCGTGGAGGATATGGAGCTGTCTTAGCCACATTAAGAAAGATCTTATGATCGTGTAAATATTTACCATTCTTCCTTTTCAGCACCTACAGTATAAATTATTCAATCAGCTACCAGACTTTAACTAGTATATTTTTCATCACAAGTAAACACTACTTATCAAATTACTTTATCGTTACTACAAAAACTACCTCACCTTCTTTGCTTGTTGAGCAGAAGCAAACTCAACAAAGCCATAGCCCACATGCTTACCCTCGTGGTTTACAATAAGTCGAACACTAACAACTTCTTCAACATTATTGAAGAAAGTAAAGCTGTAAAAATAGAGGATAAAATATCAGCCATGAAAAACTTGATCCGGGAACAAAAGTGAAAATGTAAAGAGCTACTTACATATCTGATATATTAGTTTGGGGAGAGAGATTGGCAACAAAGAGTACTTCCTGAATTTAATAGCCATGTGTGTTAGCACGAATGTAAGGAGAAATGGCCTTAAATTGCATAACTACAAAAACTAGTCTCATCTAAGGATTCATCCACACAATAAGTCATCTTTCTACTTTGTGGCAACATTTCTATTACTAAACGCTGAGTGTTTCTTTTGAGCCTAATCATATTTTGAAGATAATTTCGAACAGGTACCTCAACAAAAATGGGTGTCTCATCTTCTTTGATAGAGAGGCTTTCTCGTTGAAGGTAGTCTTTGTTCCTGGAATATCAAAAACTCTTGTGATGTCTCCATATATACCAAAAAAATTTCAATGTGCTCTTGCTTACAAACTCAAGAGGAAAATATTTAAATCCCTTACCAAACCTTGTGATCTATGCAATACCTACATAACAAAAACAACAGCGTTAATTTTCTGTAGTGGTATAAAGACTCAAGCAATACGTTACAACCAGTTTTACAGAAATAAATCTCCATAAAATAAATTAATTTACTTGGGTGGAAGGTGTGTAGCTCCCTTATCAGCCATATTAAGAACAATCTTATAATCTTGCAAATATGCACCGTTCTTCCTTTGCAGTACCTACAATACAAAAGATTTACTCAACAATCGTACTTTCAAGTAATTCGTTGTATATTATTCATCATAAGTATACATTAGTTTTCAAATGACTACTTAAATCCTATTTTCATCGCTACTATAAACTAAACTACTCTCACCTTCTTTGCTTCGTTAGCAGAAGAAAACTCAACAAAGCCGCAGCCCACAAGCTTACACTTGAGGTCTACAATAAGTCGAACACGAACAACTTTTCCAACAGCTTTGAAGAAATCGATGCTGTAAAAATAGATTATCAAAGATCAGTCATAGAAAAACTTGACCTGAAAAGAAAAGAGGAAATTAAAAGGTGTTACTTACATATTTGATATATTAGTTTCGTTAGGGAGATTGTCAACAAAGAGCGTCCTTTTTCTTACGGCAGCTTCCTAAATTGAACAACCATGTGTGTTAGCACTTACATGAGTCTAATGAGAAAGACGCTTAAAACAAAAAAGTAGCTTAATGGAACATAAAATTGTGAAATTATACCTTGGCTGAGATGACATTAGGCTGATCAGACTTTGGTTCAGACAACTCAACTTTCTGGAGACTATCAGCAGATCCATTGGTTGTCTCCTGTTAACATGAGTAGCCCAGCCATTAGAAGATAGTGCAAAGAAACTGTTGTTGTCAAAGAACAAGAGGGGTCCATAGAATCTTAGGTTACCTTGTGTTTGGAATTTTTCTTATGTTTCTTGAGAACGGGTTTGGTCTCCAAATCATCTTTAGGCTTTCGCTTACCTAAAAAAAACAGAGCAGCAAACGAACCTCTTGAGACAAAGTTAAGTGGAGTTTAGATAAAAAGAGCTTCAGAGCAACCAAAAAATCAAACCTAATAAATTAGCTTTGGCCATGGATATGGATAGAAGATGACAATAGCTTAAAGAGCGGTTTACGCTTTCAGGGAAGAGTTGGGAGCAAGCAATATAATGTTAATTCAAAAATAACCCTAAGCTAAATCTTCTATTTATATAAAAAAGAGAAAAGGAAATAACAATAAGGAATTAAGGACTCTGGTTTGGGCTGGGCTGGGCTGGGCTGGGCTGGGCTTTTTTAACTGGAGGACCATATCTCTCTTTTTTAAAAAAAATTGGAGAATCCAATGTAATCGCCGTCGGAATCTCTGTATCTGATTCATGAATTCCGATTTAAACCAAGAGACCAGCTCTAATCTAATCTCCGATACGATTCGATCGATCAAACAAAATAAGAGGGGTAGTTTGGGGATTTTGAAGAAGTAGTGTAACTAACCGTGACGGAGGAAGACGAGAGAGACTCTATGGAATTTGGATTGTGGCAAATCTCGAAATTTTGATTAGACGACAAAAAGTGAGAGCTTGCTGACGAGTGGTGTGGTGAGAGGAAGCGATATAATTAATAATAACCGAAGAGAACTAAACCGAGAACCAACTTGGTATTCAATTAGCTCTCGGTAGTCAATTAGTAACCGGTTTATAAACCGAAATTAACCAAGCCAAATTGAAAAAAAATATCTAAACGTACTTAGGCTTTAATTGGTAACTATAATTTTAGTAAAAAATGATAATTCAGTATTTACCGTTTGAAAATATTTTTATCCACATAATTCAGTATTCATCTTTTTTTTTTCCGACTATTCAATATTCATCTAATTCGTGATTATTGATCATTTAAGTCATTGGCAGTAATACAAATCCCACTATGACGAAATCATGCCCACATGATATGACATTAAACTATTGTGATTACAAATTTAAATATGTATTTTCCTTTCTTATTTATTACAGGCTTTGCAGTTTTAGGGATTTTCAAACAATTTAGAAATTATTTACAATATCCAACTATTTTTACTATCTTTTTTTGTCAATATTTTTACTATATGATTTACATTCTATGAAAATGTAATTCTTGTGGATAAATCATAATATAAAACATTTGTTTTTGAGATAGAGATTAAAAAATAATCTTGTCACAAAAAACTAGATAAAATTTCAATTAAATTATGATTGTTGCATTGTTTATTTCTAGCATAGGAAGAAAAAGATCAGCCGTTCATACCTATACACTTGGCATTAGTTTAATCAAGGAAATAGAGAAATGTACCAAAAGACAAAATGTACAAGTTTTAATTTCATCGTGATTTAGAATCATTTGGAATCTAATATAAGTGGTGTCAAATGCAACATAGCCATTAGCCACCCTTTATAATTTCTTGCAAAATAAACATAATATATTTTAAAACTTTAAAGATATTTGATTAAGCAGCAATTATTACTAAAACAAATAATGTTCTATCCAATTAAAAAATAATGATTCTCTCTTCCTTTCTTCTAAGCATAAAAACCAAAACTTTTCTCTTTCGTTTTTGCTTTCTCTTCTAAGCAATCTGCAGGAGGAGTGTGTGTGTGAATCGCAAAAACCCAAACTTGGAGGATTCTTTCTGAGGTAACAAAGCTTTCTCCTTTTTGATTGATCCACATGAGATTGATAAAAAAAAAAGCTAGCTTCTTTGTAGGAATTTCAGAAAAGCTCGTCTCTTCTTGTTCGAATCAATCAGATTGGTAAAGTTTCTGGATTTGAGCTGGATTGATTTAGGGATTGACTTGAGATTACTTTTTTTCTTTTGCAGGGATTTTTCAGTGAGAAAATGGCGTCGAAACGGATCTTGAAGGAGCTGAAGGATCTCCAGAAAGACCCTCCAACCTCCTGCAGTGCAGGTTACTGCCAAAACAAAATCTCAAAGCTTTCTTCTTGTTGTTGTATCCATTTCTTAAGCTTTCTTCTTGTATGCTCACAAATATGCCATATCTTTAGTCTTCTATAGATCACAAAGGTACTCCGTTGCTACTTATCATACTGATCAGACTTAAGAGTAGTTTAAGAATTGTAGAGTCCTTCTTTGCGTTGTGGTGTTTTGTTACTTATGTTTATCTAAGGTTCTAGAAGGAATCTCAGTTCATGAGTTGTTACTTTTCTCTAGTTATCAGACTAATCAGAGTTAGAAGAGTTGAGAAATGTAGAATCCTTCTTTGCCTTGTGGTGTTTTTGCTTCAGATTGTATAGCAAGTCTCAGTTAATTAGTTGAGTCACAGACTGAAGAAGTTGAGTTGCATTGATATTTATAGGTCCAGTTGCTGAAGACATGTTTCATTGGCAAGCTACAATTATGGGTCCTGCAGATAGTCCGTATTCAGGCGGTGTGTTTCTCGTTACCATTCACTTCCCTCCTGATTATCCTTTCAAGCCACCAAAGGTATATATTCAATATTGAACAATTCTTGTACGTACCAGAAACTTTAGCTTTAGTGATGGTTCTTATCATAGTAAGGATTGCTATTCGTAAACAGTTAACTTTTCCTAAAGCTGAAACTTTTGGACCTAAAACATTTTTTGTGTGGCATTTCTCTTTAGTATATTTTCCTTAAGCTTGACACTCTTATTGGTTGTGTTGTTTTTGTTGCAGGTTGCATTTAGAACGAAGGTGTTTCATCCAAATGTCAACAGCAATGGAAGTATTTGCCTCGACATCTTGAAAGAGCAATGGAGCCCCGCTCTAACCATTTCCAAGGTGAGTCTCATCTCATCTTATCAGAAATATTGGTTCTCTAATGTTCGTTTATGTTTCAAACTTGTAGTAAGATCAACTACATTTTCAGCTACGATCTTGCTCTAGATATGTAAAAAATGGTTTAATTTCACAAACAATGGTGTTCGTTAATGGAATGATTAATGCAATTGGATAGGTGTTGCTATCGATATGTTCGCTGTTAACGGATCCAAATCCAGATGACCCGTTGGTGCCAGAGATTGCACACATGTACAAAACAGACAGAGCCAAGTACGAGGCAACTGCAAGAAACTGGACTCAGAAGTATGCCATGGGCTAACAAAAAAGATTCAGCTGCTTCAGCACCTGTTTATGCTTTTACATATATGTTTATTTCTTCTTCTTCTTCTTTTAACTCCAATAAAATGTTCAAAATACCAACTGTTTTTCCTCTGTCTACTTAAGTTGTCTAAAGCGTCTGTACTATTCATGTTTATGGGTATCATTATATCACTATCTTTATCTAATCTTTTGAAGATGGCCAGATGTCAAAGAGTAATGATTGAGAATCACTGTGTTGTTATTATTACCAATGTATACAGTCTTTTTCTTTTGTAAAATTCTTTTTCTACCAAACATAGCTTTACTGTAAATTGAACTGCCGTCGTTGTCCACAGAAAAAAGCAAAAGAAGAAAAGATAACTTTTACCATTGTAGTGAAGTGTTCTCATCGCCGAAGAAATCACCGAAGACTCTCTCAACTTCGAGTAAAATTACCCAAAGTGAGCATTTTTTCTTCTTCTCTAAAGTCTAAACTTTCTAGTAAGTAAACTCACTTTGCAGAGTTCATATATGTCGCATTTGACATACAAGACCAAAAAAAAAAACATTAAAAATCAAGTTTTTAGGGGTTATCCTTTTGGTGGGTTTATCGAATCACCTTCTTAATTGATAAAGTTTTCTCCTTTATTATTGTCTTCCATGTCGTATTGCTGCTACTACTATTATCTTTTGAAAATGAGCATTAGGGTTTTTCATTTCACGAACATGGCTTTGGGTATTCCGATTGAAACCCATAATTTATTTTGTTTCTGTTTGAAGGTTTTGTGGTGCTCATGGATACACGAAAGGTTCCGTTGTTCTGTTATTGGAATGGTTGTATAAAAGATGGTCCTGATGGTCCATTCTATGAAGGGTCAAGTCCAAGAGGGATCAGAGTTGATAGCAAAACTGAATTATCTAAATTGTTGGATGATCTGCATCTGCTTACTGGTTTTGAAAAGGGAAAGTTTCAGATTGATTTGATTGGTAGGTACCCTTCCATTGTTCAACAACAGATGGTCAAGTATGTGCGTTTGCCCATTGTGGATGATTGTAGTTTGGAGATGATTCTTGAGGTTCCAAGCTACCATCCATCTATCAACAATCTGGAGTTGTATTTAGAGATCAAACCAGGAACTGTTCCTATATCTCATCAGTCGCCATTGGAAACTAGTGCCACCCGAAAGCGTTCTCGGCAAGAGGAGGCTAGTGTCAATGCAGATGTAAATGTGAGTGTGAGAGATACTAAACTAAGAAGTCCGCGGGAGGATAACCATAATGGGTGGATTGAAGATGAGGAGAGTATGGATGTCGGAAACTGTGGTGATAACGGGGTTGCGCAGAAGGATCCAGAAATGGAAAAGCCAACTTTAACGAAAGGCGATAGTGTTTCAAAGCAGTTGATTTTCTCTAGTTCATGGCTTGATGAAAGTGAGTTGCATGTTGGGATGGTTTTTAAAGATAAAGATGAGCTGGAGAATGCAGTGAAGTTGTACTCTAATAGAAGGCAACGTAAATACAGTAAACACGAATTTCCCTTTGAATTCCGCTGCAGAGAAGGATGTGGATGGATTCTCAAGGCACCTAAAACGAGTAGAAATGTCTTCAAGATAACAGAATATACAGGTCCACATACTTGTAAGCCAGCAGAAGTGGGCTCAGATTTTCTGGCTGGTGAGATTGAAGGTCTAATAAAGGCTCATCCCTCACTCTCGATAGTAGAGCTGAATAAGTGGGTGAAAGAAGAATTTGGCTACACAGTCTCGTATGATAATATGTGGATTGCTAAAAGGAAAGCGATCACCGCAATCTTGGGAGATTTGGATAAGAGTTTTCGCGTATTGCCCAAGTTCATGGCTGCCCTTAGCTCATCTAACAAGATGCTCGTGGAATGGCAATATGATCCTTTTCCTGATCCCAAATATGCATCCTTTCGTTCTGTGTTTTGGGCGTTTCAGCAGTCAATTGCAGGATTTCCTCACTGCAGACCTGTGATCATTGTGGATACAGTAAACTTGAGCAGTAAATACCCTGGGAAACTGTTGGTTGCAGCGGGATTTGATGCCGACAACAGTCTCTTCCCACTTGCATTTGCGATTATTACCGAAGAAAGTTTGACAGCTGATACTTGGCGTTGGTTCTTTGCATGCATCAGGAAGAAAGTAACGCAAAGGGAAGGCATTTGTCTAATAACGAGTCCGCATCCTGACATAGTTGCAGTTGTTAAGGAGCCTGAGTGTCAGTGGGCACAACACCGGTTCTGTCTTAGGCATATGTGCTTAAGATTTTATGATGTTTTCGATAACAATATCATGACAGAGTTTGTTTACAAGGCGGGATCTACGAAGTACGTATCAACTTTTGATTACTACTTGGAGAAAATCGAAAAGATGAACCCGGAGGCTCGAAAATGGTTAGACAAAATACCTCCACATCAATGGGCTGTGGCTTACGATGATGGCGGGCTGAGATTCAAGACCAAGACTACAAATTTAATATTTAGGACATATGGTTTCTTAAACAAAGCTCTTGATCTTCCAATCACAACCTGCATCTTGCTAATTTTTGATTACCTGGCAGCGCTTTTCAAATACCGACAGGGTCTACTTGAGGAATCACTGAAAGCAAGAGACCTATACTCAAAACGTGTCATGAAAATTCTTGAAGAGCAAGCTTCTAAAAAGTACGATGTATTGCCATTAGACCAGACCGAGGAGAGGTTTCAGGTCACGAACGTGATGCAAGTTAGGGAGTCGAGCTTTGTTGTTCATCTGAGTAATCGGGTTTGCACTTGTGGGAAATGGCAACTTCGCAAGATTCCATGTTCACACGTGTTAGCTGTTTGCAGGAGGCTGGACATTGATCATTTGCAGTATGTTGATGACTTTTACAGTACAAAAAGTTCTGTTGCAGTGTATGCAGCTGACTTCAATCCGCTACCGAGAGTCTCTGATTGGCCGGAAGCTTCCGACGTTCCAAGATTGTTTCCTCCTGGAAGCCATCCGATATCAGTTTAGCCAAGAAAGGTCTGAAACGTTGAACCAAACTGAACTAATTCGTGAAGATGGTTGGGTATGTTACCTGAATATACATCGATTTAGTTTGGTTTGTTTCAGTACGAGTTTTAGGGAAACTAGTTCGGTTTTTTTCTTTCTCTTCGATATGTATGAAGAGAGAGACGGCTAAAGAAGTTGGTGAAAGTTAGTTAAACCAAAATATGTAGTGACTAGTTTTTTGTTTGTAAGATATGCTAACCGGTTAGTGTTTGTTTTTTGGGAGGTTGTATGAAAACCGGTTAAAGGTTCATGTAATGTAATGTCTGGACATATATATATAGTGGCTACTACTATATGGATGTTGATGATGTATAACATTTATGTATTTGTATGTAGTAATCAGTATGCACAAAGTCTTTGTTTCGTTTTTTCTTATTTTTCACTATATCCTTCGTTTTTATGTCTACAGCGTCACACCGAGGTAAGAAGCCAACTGCGGCTGCTGGTACGGTTCAATGTTGTCTCACATATCTCGGTTTAAGTAAAATCTCTGGTTTGATTTCTCATAATTTAAATATGTCGACGTCCGAATGTTGGCTAAAGAATAAAGATTATCAATTGATTTTAAACAGTTTTAATGATGGATTAATCTTTGATAAATTTTGCTAAAGAAGTTGGTAGCTACTGACTGAATCAAATAGAAGGTTCGGTTTGGTTTATGTGAATCAAGAGCAATTAATGTTCACTTATATCGGTTAAGTAAATAAAAATTTCGGTTTCGTAAATTGGGCCTATAGATTGCATATTCGACTATTACAAAGAAAGGGAAACAAATTTTGAATTCTAAATTAGTGGACCTTATTGGGCCTACACTAGGAAACCCATATCTGTCGAGATGAAAGCGTTGATGACAAAACGCAAATTTCCTATGCGTTTGCGTAACGTTTATATTGCCAAAAACAATTACTTTTAATCAAGGAAAATTCGTGACCGTCTGATTGAAGCATCATATGGCGAATCAACGGCTAATCCATATATAATTATAGCCGTTAGGCGACGCGTTTGGTCAAGATCGATATATGTATATGCTACAACACCAAATATTCGCATTATCTTTCTTTTTTCCTTTTTCCCAAACTCTCTCTCTCTTTCTCGGTTCGTTTTTGAATGAAGAAGACTGATGAGTTCTTCGACGATCGGTGAGGAAAATTCATGGTAGATCATCTTCAATATGTATTTTCTATTTCTCTGTATCGCGATTTTATAGGATTTATATAAGTTTTTTGTAATCGTTCTTATATATGTTGGATTGATCTCTAGGGTTTTGTTTTTTGTTTGGTTTGATTCAGGAATGAAACTAGTACAATCGGCTAGGGTTTCTTCTGATGATTTAGAAACTGCGACGGAGGGTTTCGGGATGTTTACGGGAGAGAATCTTAACCGGAGAGGTTGAGATCGCAAGGAGACTTTGCGATGATGGTGTAGGATCGTCTTAGAAGAGATCGATGGGAGAGAGAAGCGAAGCGTTCTGATTATTTATGTTTTCTTGATTTGGGGTTAATGTTTTTGGGGGTTCGTTGAAAGAGAAGAAGAAGATTTAGCGGTTCCTGTTTGATTCGCGGCTCTGAATGTGAGGGAAAAGATACTAAGTCTGTTGGTCATAAACATGGCAAGAAGTTTTTGGTGGTAGTTACTCGTTATCCTGAAGTCAGTATGTTAACACTGGTGAGATGGGTCTTTCTTTTATTCATCATTAGACAAATTTGTCCTTTAAATACGTTTTGACTAATGGTTTTTCTTATCTTTTGATAAATTTTAGTTGGCTGGAATTGAGCGTTTCCACCTCAGATAAAGATGTTGCCTATTCAGGTAAGGATGTGGAATGATGCTTCTAGCCTCATGTACTCTCTTCTTGTCCATCTATGCGCTTTGTCTGATGAATTTGTTTTGTTTGTGTTGAGTCTTATAGATTCTTGATATATTGCAGGTTCTTAAAGCGCTGAGGAGTGAGGAATCAGTTCATGTTTTGATGGACATCCCATGGGAATCCCGATGTAAGCATTAATAGATGGAACTGCTGGTTTTCTTTCAAGTGTGGAAGGTACTTCTTTTTAGTTTTGAAAGAAAAAGTTATAGTTGATTTAGTTTTGACAAATGGTTTTACATTTTGATGATTTTCTGGAATTGATTTTACCTCATATTCACTCAGCCCATTGCACTCATTGCTCCATCAGATGAAGATGTTGCTTCTAGCTTCAGGTAATCTCTTTTAGTCGATCCATGCTCTTTGTCTAATGGATGGATTTTGTTTTGGTGAAAGTCTTAATAATTTCTTGATATTCTCAGTTTTTTTAAGCCTGGCAGAGATTCAAAGCCCTGAGGAATCAGTTGATGTTTTGATGGGCATGCATGGAGCAATTGATCCCAAGAATCCTCGAGGTATGCAATAATTGATGAAACTGCTGGTTTCCTTTCAAGTAATTTAAGCTGCTATATCTTTTTTGTTTTGAAAGAAGAACTTATAGTTGATTAAGTTTTGACAAATGGTTTTACATTTGATTACTTTAGTCTGCTGGAATTGAGGCTTTCCACCTCATAATCACTCTGCCCATTGCACTCATTGCTCCATCAGATGAAGATGTTGCTGTTCAGGCAAGGAAATGGTTCTTCGAGCCTCAGGTACTCTCTTCTAGTCGATCCATTCTCTTTGTCTACTGGATGGGTTTTGTTTTGGTGGAAGTCATATAGTTTCTTGATATTTTCAGTTTCTTTTAGCCTAGAAGAGATTCAAAGTGCTGGAACGATCTATTCACTTTGTGCATTCAATCTCTAAACGTCAAAAAAGGATTTCAGCCTGATTCTTCTTTCACGAGGTACTTCTCTGTCTTTCCCGTTTTGTTTGTGTTTTTGAGTTTTCAGAGGATTGAAATTTGAAGAAAAACGATTAATCAAAGTCTGATGAGATCAATTGTTTCTTTATTCAAGCAATTGACTTCTGTATCATCGTGATTTTTCGAAGTTTTGCTTTTGTTTTTGTTTTTGTCTTTAAAACCCCAAAAAAGATCATGGGCAGACACTAATCTAATAGTGTTCTGTCAGATTCTATTTTGGGGATATTGGCCCGAGAAAGTTGTCAACTATTGATTGGCTTGGTAGTGCATGCACGTTGGGGGTTGGAAAAGAGATTTCGGATTGTTGGATGGGAATGCCATATGGCTTAAAAAGTCTTAAGACAAAGACTGAATAGAACAAAAGAGTTCTTTAAATTTGTTGGATGGGAATGGTATGGCTTAAAGAGTCTTAAGACAAAGACTGAATAGAACCAAAGAGTTCTCACAAAAGTTACCCTCGGCTTTGGAAAATCATAAGACAAAAAAGTCTGAAGACTTTGGTACCCACGGCTTGTTGGATGGGAATTACAAATGGCTTAAAGAGTCTTAAGACAAAGACTGAAAATCATAAGACAAAAGAGTCTAAAGACTTTGGTACCCACGGCTTGTCGGATGGGAATAATATATGGCTTTAAAGAGTCTTAAGACAAAGAGTCTAAAGGCTTGTAAGACAAAAGAGTCTAAAGACTTTGATAAGACAAGAGTCTAAAGACTTTGGTACCCACGGCTTGTTGGATGGGAATCACATAGGCTTAAAGAGTCTTAAGACAAAGACTGAAAAAATTACAAGACAAAAGAGTCTAAGAGTCTTAAAGACTTTGGTACCCACGGCTTGTTGGATAGGAATGAAAAATGGCTTAAAGAGTCTTAAGACAAAGACTGAAAAATCATAAGACAAAAGAGTCTAAAGACTTTGTAAGACAAAAGAGTCTAAAGACTTTGATAAAACAAGAGTCTAAAGACTTTGGTACCCACGGCTTGTTGGATGGGAATGACATAGGCTTAAAGAGTCTTAAGACAAAGACTGAAAAAATTATAAGACAAAAGAGTCTAAAGACTTTGATAAGACAAGAGTCTAAAGACTTTGGTACCCACGGCTTGTTGGATGGGAATCACATAGGCTTAAAGAGTCTTAAGACAAAGACTGAAAAAATTATAAGACAAAAGAGTCTAAAGGCTTGTAAGACAAAAGAGTCTAAAGACTTTGATAAGACAAGAGTCTAAAGACTTTGGTACCCACGGCTTGTTGAATGGGAATGACATAGGCTTAAAGAGTCTTAAGACAAAGACTGAAAAAATTATAAGACAAAAGAGTCTAAAGACTTTGATAAGACAAGAGTCTAAAGACATTGGTACCCACGGCTTGTTGGATGGGAATCACATAGGCTTAAAGAGTCTTAAGACAAAGACTGAAAAAATTACAAGACAAAAGAGTCTAAAGGCTTTGGTACCCACGGCTTGTTGGATGGGAATGATATATGGCTTAAAGAGTATAAGACAAAGACCAAAAACTCATAAGACAAAAGAGTCTAAAGACTTTGATAAGACAAACGAGTCTAAAGACTTTGGTACCCACGGCTTGTTGGATGGGAATGATATATGGCTTAAAGAGTATAAGACAAAGACCAAAAACTCATAAGACAAAAGAGTCTAAAGACTTTGATAAGACAAACGAGTCTAAAGACTTTGGTACCCACGGCTTGTTGGATGGGAATGACATTATGGCTTAAAGAGTCTTAAGACAAAGACTGAAAAATCATAAGACAAAACAGTCTAAAGACTTTGGTAGCCACGGCTTGTTGGATGGGATGGATATATGGTTTAAAGAGTCTTAAGACAAAGATTGAAAACTCATAAGACAAAAGAGTGTAAAGACTTTGATAAGACAAAGACTTGGGATGGGAATGAAAATACGACCAAAATCATCAAAGAACAAGGTAAGTATAGGGCATTCACGTAAAATGAAGACTAACAAATTCTGATTTCCCCAGGTATGTTCTTCTGAAGGTGTTCAGATTTTCAAGTGTAGCAGACTTCCTTGACAGGTATATGCTTTTCAAACCTTTTGTTTTTGTTTTTATGTCTTTGTGATTTATAAACTTGTTTGTAATTGGTTAATATAATAATGAAAATGACAAGTAAGGGACACATAAATGCTTCATAATATGTTGATAGTCTCATCGATTTATCAGCTATTTCTTTATGGGATTTTTCTTCTTATTAGGCAAATACGGTGGCTGCTTTTGCGAGAATGGCTGTGGAGGATTCCAGGATGCTTTAGTCTCCTGAGTTTTTTCTTCTCCAAGCGTCAGAAGTTAAGTCACCAGCTTCCATTTCTTAACACATTGATGTGTTTGCATCTGGTTACAAATCTTTCTCTTTTTGTTTATTGGTAGACACGAAAGTTGTAGAATTTTGTCAATCCTTGGGACTGATTCTTTTTACTTTGGCTTTTATTTACTTCAGTTGATTTGGCTGAAACATCATTTGACGAGGATTTGGCCTTATGTTGATGAGGTATGTTAGGCTGTTCTCAATTTGCTTTTTCGTTTTGTGTCAAACTCATTGAGAAAATATTATTTCTAATGGAGGATTTTTTATTCATCGGACTCTAGGCAGCCTCTCTCTGAGCTTCTAAGAGCATCTGTGGAGCCTGTTTTCGAGCAATATAGACCTGCCATTGTATATAGTTACTGCTAACGGATCATTGATAGAAAATGTTTATTTTTACTTTGGATATTGGAAATGGGTATCAGCAGGAATGAATTTGATGATACAAATCATGAGGCAGAGAAGGAAGAGTATATTAATCACATTGAAGAAATTGTTAAATGGATGGGTTAGGAACACTTCTAGCCTTAAGGTATTGTCACTTCTAGCCTTAAGCTCATTGATATTATTATTGTGGTTTTGAATTCATCTGACATTTACCATTGACTTTTTTAAGAACTCTATGATTTGGCAGTGGAGTTGATCATCAGGTTAGATCAATTTAAACTTTCTGATATATAGATTCCTGTTTCTTTTTCCATTTGATTTAACTCTACTAGTGCAACTTGCTCCATACGTGAAACTTATCCAACTAAATAATTGTTCTGATGTTGAGTTTTCTACAGATTGTATTCATCATTTAGTGTTCTTTCAATGGTAATTAATGTGATTTACTGTAAAAAAATCTCAGGATGATCAAAAGATGAAGAATATCCAAAACGCTGAAGATTACTATGACGAAGCTGATGAAGATTCTCGTGAGGGTGAATTGACTACTGTCGCTGTATTGTAGCATATATATTTACAATGAATACATTTGGAACTAATTGGATAGAAATTGTAATGGTTTTGAAGGTGAAGGAGGGGAAAAGAAGAGAGATTTTACTACATTGGAGTTCAAGCCATATCATGGAAACAGTCCTTTGTGTTGATGGAAGGATTTTGTTGGAGATGTTTTATCCTCTCTATAAACAAGCTTATGATTTTCTTGTCATCATTGCTGAACCCGTTTGCAGGTGCTCATCCTAAAAAAAAAAATCGATTTCGTTTCCAAATATATCGGTGTAGAACTTATGATCTTGGATTGATTTCATTTACTTGTTACTATTTCAGGCCAGATTCAATGCTGAGTATAATCTAACCCCACACTCGTTGTATGGTGCTGTTTCTTTCTCTTCTCTTTTGTATTTGGATCTTGGTTTCGTTTTCCCATTGCTTTTGCTTAATTTAAAAAAAAAAAACTATCTCAGGTGTTGAAAAGGCTTCTTAATGATGATGATATGAACCAAGCTAGATTTGCTTCTAAGGTATGTTGAACTTCTCCATTTCGGTATGTTGAACTTCTCCATTTCGTGCATTATGCTTGCCTTTCGCGGTTTCTATATCTTAACTTTGAGTGAAATACATCCCATGATCCATGATCAGTTGTTCTCAAACGGTTTTTTTCGTCTTTTCTCACTTATACTTCTTAATTCATTGAATGTGGAGTTCATGTTTATTATAACATTGTGTGTTCTCCTCAATATGTCGATTCGAGCCAAATTAGATTAACTTCTTTTTTTGCTAGCCATGGTGGTGATGGATTTACGATTGGCAAAACAAGCGGTGAAATTGAACCAGGACCTGGGGAGCTGTTGAGTGAAACAGAACTAGGAGCAGCAGCAGATGAGAAAGAAACTCATAGACCCTTCCTAGGTAAATTTTCTGTAATCCGGCTGAGAAATAATGTCTAAAAATTAATTATGTAAATGAGTTTGGTAATGTTCTCTGATTGTTACTTAGCTCATGTTGTCTTGTTCTTTTGCTCTTGGTGTATAGGTGGAGGAATACGACTTCAGGAACGACAATGTGTGGAAAAAAAATTTACAATTCAGGCCAATTATTGCTTACAAGATTATATGCACTGTGGGTTTGTGATTGTTAAAAACTTGATGGTGTCTATCAGGTTAATATTGATCTTGACATGGAACTGAATCAACCAAAGCCATACGAGGAAAAAAGTTTGAGCTAAATGTTTGGGAACGGTATAACTCTCTACGTCCACTAAGTTTTTCTTAGTAATTCGTTTATACAACGATTGCTAAATTGATATTGAACTTCTCTTAGATATTTAGATTTGTACATTCATACAGTGTTCTGATCTAGCTTCATTGTGAACTCCTAATATATAAGTATCTTTGTACTATCTTGTGAAAGATTGTGACTAATCTAGAATCTTGATTCTGCAGGACGAGCAAGATCTGGGATTATAGTGTTGCCTTGTGGTGCTTGTAAATCTCTAGTTGGTGTTTCCGCAGCAGCTCGTATAAAATGTTGTGGTTCTCCCTAACTGTTACTTTTGATCTTCAGTGGGTTCTGCAATCTCCCCCAGGAAAAGAGCTCATAAAGGTTGAACTCTGATTCTTTGAGAAAGTCTTTGACTCCGAGGTATGTATATTTTCCTCTTTAAGTCCGGTTATGATGTATCGACCCTTACAGATGATGCGGTCGGGGACAGATTTCAGTTCGGGAGACTAGGTATTCTCAGTTTCAAGATCACAAAAATTGCTTGCGTTTCAAAATGAGCTCATTGTGTGTTTTAATTTTATTTTTATTTTCTCTGTTTCAATGCTTGTGTCTCATAAGGTCTCTTATTATTTTATATAATGGATGCATCTTAGAGTCTCTTGTAGATGCTTATTTTGACATGGGTGCATTTTCTGTAGATTATGATTGTAGTTTCCTTGAATCTTGTAAGTACTTGATTTGCATTATGTTCTATCCTTGGTGATTGTTTTGTTGTTTCTATGTATAATAAATTCTTTCATGCTATAAAATAGATGCATCTCCTGTAGAGATGTATTCTGAACGTATATGATATCTCTGCATATTATGGTAATAGTTTCATTGAATCTCAGAATGTATTTGTTTTGCGTTATGCTCTTAAACCCTTGGTGATTGTTTTAAGCATGCGAAACAACATTTTGGAATTCTCCATTATCAACTAATGATTACTGTGTTAGATTCTATAAATTGTACCCTTTTGCTTGAGTCTTTACTATACACTAACTGAAGATATCATAAGTCTCTTGTTTTATGAAATGGATGCATCATGCATGTATGTACGTATTTATTTTGAATGTAGTTGCAGATTATGGTAGTGTTTTATTTGAATCATGAATAGATTTGTTTCATGTTATGCTCTGAAGTTTTTGGTGATCAATTTTGAACATGTGAAGTGACATTCTCAACTGTTGTATCATGATTAGTTGATTACTGTGTTAGACTTTACCAAATTGTATTCGTTGGCTTGAATTTTTACAAGTACAATGATTGAAATATCTCTGTTATCACACTAGTGCATAGCTATCATGTCGTCTTTTGTCTTACATAGTCGTTGAAACTTTGAACTCTATTGAATCATTGGTATATTTTTATTTAGTTAGAATATGCAATAGAGATTTCTTGACTCTTTACCATGTCTTTTGTTTTGAACACAGTTTTTTATGATTGATGTCAAAATTTAGCTGTAAACTTTCAATATATACCTATTTCATTTTATGTTGGTCCTTTGTTTGAAATGGACAATTTGAATTTCATTGTTAGTTTTGTTGAGAAAACAATATTTTCTGTGTTAGATTGTAAAATATGTAATGGTCATGAACACAGTTCTTGCATTTTGGTTTGGTAGTCCGATAATTTTGGATGATAGCATCCTAACTTTTGCATCTTGTGTGTTAGAATAGTTAGTGTCGTAACCTGACTAAGTGTATATCTATTCTTGTATGTCTATCTATTAATTCTTTCATGTCTATCTCCCAGTTAAGGTTATATTAATGTCTATGATTGGTTATGAGTCTGCATGAGCCTCAGCTACCATAATCTTTCATTCTTTTGTTTAGTGTTTGGTATTTTAAATGATTAAACGTATAACTTGAACCCTATTAAACTAAATTAAATTAGATATTCAAACTTGAACCCTATTAAACTAGATTAAGTCAGATATTCCAAGAAACTTGAACATAGCTAATATTTCGTTTTGGAATATATCAGGTTCCATTAGAAGATGGGACCTAAAACATAATGAGTTCTATACTGTAGATTAAATGTAAAATTCATAATATAGCCTAAATTATATAGTAATTTTTAAAAATAACTAGTCTTGGAAATATACATTGAAGGTTCCAAAGTAATGATGGTCTTGTATCAACCTTTCACAATGCCGGTTGGTAATGGTAATGACTAATGAGTAAAGTTCCTTCTCCCCAATGTATGTACAGCCCAAACTTGAGAAAGAACGATTATTTCAAACTTACAAACATCAAGAGAAACTACATACAAACATCTAAGAGAAACTACAGCGAAAACCGTAACCATAAAAGATTGTGTAGTCCATCGAACCCATCGACTTCATCTCTAGTAACAGAAAAATCATAAATATATACCAAACACTGTTCCGATGGCAATATGTGGTCGGTCACTTCAACGCACATAGGGCTGTTGAAGAAAGAACACCATAATCGTCAATTATAATTTTGAAGAATTGGATTAATACTGCATATTTAAATGCTTTTTGTTATTAACATAATCGTATTTCTTTTGAAAAATATGTTTTGTCTAGGACACTATATTCGTGATATATTATAGAGATAAATCGGATCGATAGAACTGTTTCTTAAGAGGGTTTTGTACTGTGATTCATCAATTATAAAGTTTGGGCGTTATCTGTTAAAACAAGTAAAATGATAAAAACGTTTGGGCATCATATGATATTTATCAGAAATAGAGGGACTTTTCAGTCATTTTAGGAATATTGATATTTGTCGTTTACAAATTACAACTGAATCGTCGTCGTTGCCGAACGGATTAAAAGAAACAACTTTTTTTTTTCCTTTTTTGCGCAGTCAAGTGTTTTTCTTCTCCGACGAGTTCACCGGAGCCAGCGGCGGAAGACGTTCTACTTCGGGTTAAAAACTACACAAAGACTCTTCCGCAAGTGAGCCATTTTCATCTTTATCTTCTTAATTCCTTGGATTCGACCCATTTTGAAGAATTTAGGGTTTATCCTTTTTACTGGGCTTCTCTTCTCGAAAGCTTTAATCTTTATCAATTTGATCTTTAGGGTTTCTCGTTAGCTAATAATCACGAACATGGCTTTGCTCAGTTCGATTCAAATCCATAAGTTTTTCTTTTTCTCTTTGAGATTTTCCCGCCTTTAACTAAATCCGTTGTTTTCTTTATCCGCTCAGCTCCAAAGTTGTAAGATAAAGGTTTATCTTTGCTCCTTTAGTATTGTCTTCCATGTCGTGCTAGACTGTTATCGTTTTAGTGTTTCTCGTTTAGGATCAAGAACATGGCTTTGGTTGTTCCAATTCGAAATGATTAATATTTGTGTTTCTTTGCCTTTTCACAAGGTCTCTGGTGCTCATGGATACAAGAAAGGTTACAGTCTTCTGTTATTGGAATGGTTGCATCAAAGATGGTTATGATGGTCCATTCTACGAAGGCTCAAGTCCCAGAGTAATCAGAGTTGATAGCAAAACTGGACTATCCCAGTTTTTGGAAGATCTGCATCTGCTTACTGGTTTTGAAAAGGGGAAGTTTCAGATTGATCTAGTTGGTAGGTATCCTTCCATTGTTCAACAACAGATGGTCAAGTATGTGCGTCTGCCCATTGTGGATGATTGTAGTTTGGAGATAATGCTTGAGGTTCCAAGCTACCATCCTTCTATTAACAATGTAGAATTGTATTTAGAGGTCAAACCGGTTTCTGATCAGGCGACTAAAAAGCGTTCTCGGCGAGAGAATCCTAATGTTGATGGGAGTGACAGAGATAACACATTAAGAATTCCACAGGAGCATAATAGCAACGGGTGGATTGAAGATGATGAGAATATGGATGATGGAGACTGTGGATTTGGTGGTGATAATGTGGCTGCACAGAAGGATTCGAGGATGAAAAAGCCAGGTCCAATGAAAGGGCTCTGCAATAGTGTCTCAAAGAAGGTTATTTTCTCTAGTTCTTGGCTCGATGAACGTGAGTTGCATGTTGGGATGATTTTTAGAGATAAAGTTGAACTGGAGAAAGCAGTGGAGTTGTACTCTAATAGAAGACAACGTGAGTACATCGCGTATGAAGACAGTATATTCACGTGCAAGAAAAGGAAAGTCTGCGGGTGGGTTCTCAAGGCAGCTGAAACAAAGAGCCATGGCTTTGAGATAATAGAATATACAGATCCACATACCTGTATGCCAGTAGATGTGGGCTCAGATTTTCTTGCAGGTGAAATTGAAGGTCTAATAAAAGCTCAGCCATCGCTCTCAATTGCAGAGCTGAATAAGTGGGTTAAAGAAGAATTTGGCTACGAAGTTTTAGCTGATATAATGCAGAATGCTAAAAAGAAAGCGATCACTGCGATCTTGGGAGATTTGGACAAGGGTTTTAGCTTACTGCCCAAGTTCATGGCAGCTCTCTGCTCATCCAATAAGATGCTTTTAGATTGGCAATATGATAGTTTCTCTGATCCCAAAGATGCTTCCTTTCGTTCTGTGTTTTTTGCGTTTCAGCAGTCAGTTAAAGGGTTTCCTCACTGCAGACCTCTCATTTTAGTGGACACGGTGGACATGAGTGGTGAATACCCTGGGAAATTGTTGGTTGCAGCAGGATTAGATGCCGAGAACAGCCTTTTCCCACTTGCGTTTGCGATTACTACCCAGGAAACTTTGTCAGCTGATACTTGGCGTTGGTTCTTTGCGTGTATCAGAAAGAAAGTAACGCAAAGGGAAGGCCTTTGTCTAATAACAAGTCTGAATCCTGACATTGTGGCAGTTGTTAAGGAACCTGAGTGTCAGTGGGTGCAACACCGGTTCTGTCTTAGGCATCTGTGCTTCAAATTTTATGATGTTTTCAATAACAATCTCATGACAGAGTTTGTATACAAGGCTGGATCCACGAAGTACCTATCTAGTTTTGATGACTACCTGAAGAAAATCGAAGATATGAATCCAAAGGCTCGGAAATGGTTAGACCAAATACCTCTGCACCAATGGGCTCTGGCTCACGATAGTGACAGGCTGAGATTCGGGATCATGACTACAAACTCAATCTTTACAACTTATAGTTTTGTAAACAAAGCCCGTGATCTTCCAATCACTGCTTGCATCTGGCTAATCTTTGATCACCTGGCAGAGCTTTTCAAATCGCGAAATGGTCTTCTCGAGGAGTCACTAAAGAACAGAGGAGAGGTCTATGCTAAACATGTCATGACAAAGCTTGAAGAGTACAAGTCAGCCTCTAGAACGCACGACATATTGCCTTTAGACCAGATTGCAGAGAGGTTTCAGGTCACAAAAGTGCTGCAAACTGCAAACAAGAAATTTTTTGTTCACTGCAGCAATCGAGTTTGCACGTGTCAGACATGGCAAGTTTACAAGTATCCGTGTTCGCACGTGCTAGCTGTTTGCAGGAGGCTGGACTTTAACCATTTGCAGTACGTAAGTGACTTCTACAAGACAGAGAGTTTTCTTGGAGTTTATGCAGCTGATTTTAATCCACTTCCAGCAGTCTCCAACTGGCCGGAAGCCTCGGATGTTCCAACATTGTTTCCTCCTGGAAGTGGTCAGATATCAGTTGTCCTGCCAGGAGCAATAGAGTCAACCCCCAAGAAGTCAGCTACGCCAAGTGATGGGAACACAGGAGGGAGTGGAGGAATTGAAACGAGACGATCAGGGAGACCCAAGAAGCCGAACAGTAGATATGTCAAGTAAGGCCTTGAATGGTAGATATTATATGATATGGCATTGAGAAGATGGTGTTATGTTTGTTTGGTTACTGATTTTAGGTAAAACTTAGAAGCGATTTGGTGGATGAACGGAGCAGTTAGAAACGATTTTTTGTTGTTTGTAACAAGTATGCTAATCCGGTTAATGTAGATTTGTTGTTCATGTACTTTTTGTATTTTGTTCCTTTTGAGTAGTTGTGTGTGTTTTTGTATGAATTGAAGACAAAATTTGATTGTTAAAAATCGTTGGTCTTTTTTATGTCATATTTTATAAAAATAAGAAAAATGGAAAAAAAGAGAGCCGACATATACCAATTCCAGCCACTGAGGCACATATACCAATTCCAGCCACTGAGGCACATGTTAAATTGGTGACATAACATCTAATTTAACTATACTTAAACGATAGATTTGGATTAATATCCCGGTATAAAAAAGATAAAAATAAAACTTAAAAAAGAGATTAATATTCCGGTTTAGACCGGTTCGCTAATTACAATTAAAATCATAAGTTTATTTATTTTAGTACTGTCTGCTCGAAACAATGGATTTAATATATTCTCCGACAAAATCAACGGTGGAATAATTTTAACCCTAACTAACCAAGTGATACATATTTTAACCCTACTAGTATAATTTTTCTGATACATTCATTTTGTAAGAAGTTTAGGGTTCCTCATTCGTTTGGAATCTTACGAAAATTGTTTTGGCTTTACTCCCTTTGAGATTTTCCGCATAGCTTTGTTCCAAGTTATCCTTTTGCTGGATTTGTCGTTTATAAAAAGTTTTCTCCTTCAGAGTTTCTCGTGTAGAATTTATTAACATGGCTTTGGGTATTTCAATTCAAAACCCTTGACTGATTTTTTTTTTGTGTACAAGGTTTTTATGCATTCAAGAAAGGTTCATGTTCCTGTTATTGGAATGGGTGTATTAAAAATATGGTGTGATCAGAGTTGATGGCAAAATGATTGTCCTAATATATTATCCACGTCTCCTCTCGATAGTTGGACTTTCCTTTGCACCGTCAGTTAATGATAATTAATTTATGGGTTGTATTTGGGCTCTGGTATTTAAATTAAAGTTTGTGATAGGGATCTTATATTTAAATTAATGTTCGTTATGGATTGTGGTCCTTGCTTAACATCTTCTAATGTAAATTTGGAGGATCTCCATGGAGTTCAGATTGATCTGATTGGTACATACCCTCCATTGGTCATATATGCGTTTGCCATCCTTGTATCAACAATGTGGAGTGGTCATACCGGTTTCTGGTCCTGATTCCGGTAAGACTGTTCGCAATTTTCAGATCATCTATGATCATGATGCCACCACACCAATTAAGTCCAAGTTAAAAGAATTAAAAATCAGATAACGCGTACTTGGACTAAAACTTACTTGAAATCGATTTAACTGTTTTTGATAATGCTTTTCTTTCCAAAGTCTCCAACGCTTTGAAACAATTTCCACATCTTTTCTCCGGCGACTGAAACAAAGTAGAAAGAGCACTTTTTTATATAGCAAAATAAAAACAACTTAATCCTGATTCCACACAATATAATAATACCCCCTGATTAATTTAGTTTCTTCACAGTCTAATAAAAGAAATTGATAACTTTTGGGTCATGGGTAAAGAAAAGTTTGTTAATTTTGCTATCATCATGTCAAAAACAGTTTTTATCTAACATTACGTGAGTTCTCAATAACAACTTTTTTTCCTAAATCAATCTTTTCAAGAAAACATTATATATTGCAATGTGAAATTTTAAACTCTCAACATTAATATTAATCCACTAAACAAAACAAAAAAGCATGCCTCTGTTTTTTCAAGAACATGATGAACATTTTTCAAGAACATGATGAACATTTTCTTAAACCATAATAGCTAATTTTGAAGGGAAAAAAAAAGAAACTAATAATGATACAATATTCAGATGTATAAAAAAAACCAGACTAAAGCATACAAGATCACGAAGCTACCAAATTATATCATCATCAAAAGAATTAAAGTGAAACTTACTTGAGATCGTTTAAGTTTTGATGATGAACTTTTCCCCCAAGTCTCCGAATTTTAGAAACAGCTTCCACATTTATTTTCCGGCGTTTGGAACAAATCAGAGAGCTGCTGTAGTTTATATAAAAAGATAAACATTACTTAGTTTCTTCACAATCAAATTATATTTTAAAAAGAAAAATCAAATATGCAAGAGAGCGACTAGAAAATTGGTAAACTTACTTAGAAAACTCCAAAGTCTGCAACTTTTTCTTCTACTGCATATTCTTTCCTCCGTGTGAAAAAGTTTTACACAACCTAGTTATCAAAACAGAAACAATTTTGTATCAGATTCTGATTCATAACAAAAAAAAAAAATTGTGAAAAGGATATTTAGTAGATTAGGAACTTACTTGAAAGTTTTCTTCTTTGAATGAGCATTTGTGAAGCTTTAAAGAATAAAACGAAAAAAAAAAAAGAAAACAGAGACTTTTTGATTTGGAATGGTTTCGTAATTGTTGATTTGGGTTAACACACTTACCTCTAAAGATGTATATATAGAGGAACTCAGAAATATAGCCGTTTAAGGCTAAAGTTTACCGTTATACTCACAACGGCTAATTGTTTCAAAGTTACCGTTATATTCACAACGGCTAATTTTTACAGAGAGCAAAGATCTTTTCCTAATTATATTAATTATTTCTAAACCATTTCCTGATTATTATCGACGACATCGTTTTACTTGCGACTGTGTTTGGTAACATTAAACGACAGCGTTCCGTTTAAGTATTATTGTATTAGACGACGTCGTTCTATGTTTGTTCGACGACGTCGTTCTATGTTATTCGACGACGTCGTTCTATGTTATTCGACGACGTCGTTCTATGTTATTCGACGACGTCGTTCTATGTTATTCGACGACGTCGTTCTAAGTTAGCACGATACGGCGTCGAGAAATTTGCAGTCGCCGTCATCTCGCAGCAGTGATTAGATTTCGTCTCTCCGACGAAATCACGGAAGCCAGCGGCGGAAGATTAGCTTTTTTCGGTAAGATTATTTACTTAAAACACTGTTCCCACACGACATACGAATTAGGGGTTCTCTTTTAGAAAAGCTTTCTCTGCTACTATCTTCCATTCGTTTAGAATCACGACCATTGGTTCTCTTTGATCTTTGAGTTTTAGGGTTTCTCGTTTAGAATCACGGACAATGCTTCTCTGGGTATGTCAATTAAAACACTCGACTGATCTTTTTGCAATTTTTCAAGGTCTGTGTGGTGCTCATGGATACAAGAAAGATTCCGGTTTTCTGTTATTGGAATGGGTGTATTAAAGAGGTTCTGATGGTCCCTTCTACAAAGGGTCAAGTCCAAGGGTGGTCAGAGTTGATAGCAAAAGTAAATTTTCTCAATTTGCTGGATGATCTGCATCGAGTTACTGGATTCGAAAAGGGGAAGTTTCTGACTGATCTGATTGGTAGGTACCCTTCCATTGTTCAACAACCCATGGTCAAGTATATGCGTTTGCCTGTTTGTGGATGATTGTAGTTTGGAGACCATGCTAGAGGTTCCAAGCTACCATCCTTGTATCAACAATGTGGAGATCTATTTGGAGATCTTCTCTAGTTCATGGCTTGATGAACGCGAGTTGCATGTTGGGATGCTTTTTAGAGATGAAGATAAGTCGGAGAAAGCAGTGAAGTTGTACTCTTGTAGAAGGCAACGAATGTGCTCCACACGGCAACGTTGGTTTTCATGGGCTTCCTGCAAAGCAAGTAGTTGTGAATGGAGTCTCAGTGCAGATAAAACAAAGGAGAATGACTTTTTGATAACAGAATATAGAGGTCCTCATACTTGTGAGCCAGTAGATGTGGCCTCAGATTTTCTGGCAGGTGAAATTAAATGTCTAATCAAGGCTCAGCCCTCGTTGTCAATTGCAGAGCTAAGCAAGTTGGTAAAAGAAGAATTTGACTACACAGTCTCACATTCTAGTATGTGGGATGCCAAAAAGAAAGTGATTATTGCAATCTCGGGAGATTTGGACAATAGTTTTAGCATATTGCCCAAGTTCATGGCTGCCGTTTGCTCATCTAATAAGATGCTTTAAGATTGGAAATATGATCCTTTTCCTGATCCCAAAGATGCATCCTTTCGTTCTTTGTTTTTTGCGTTTCAGCAGTCAGTTGAAGGGTTTCCTCACTGCAGACCTCTCATTCTAGTGGATACGGTAGACTTGAACGGTAAATACCCTGGAAAATTACTGGTTGCAACAGGATTAGATGCCGAAAACGCCCTTTTCCCACTTGCGTTTGCGATTATTACCCAGGAAAGTTTGTCAGCTGATACTTGGCGTTGGTTCTTTGCGTGCATCAGAAAGAAAGTAACACAAAGGGAAGGCCTTTGTTTAATAACAAGTCTGAATCCTGACATTGTGGCAGTTGTTAAGGAACCCGAGTGTCAGTGGGTGACACACCGGTTCTGTCTTAGGCATCTGTGCATAAAGTTTTATGATGTTTTCAATAACAATCTCCTGACAGAGTTTTTTTGCAAGGCTGGATCCACAAGCTACATATCAAGTTTCAATTACTACTTGAAGAAAATCAAAGAGATGAATCCAGAGGCTCGGAAATGGTTGGACCAAATACCTCCACACCAATGGGCTCTGGCTCATGATGATGAAGGGCTGAGATTCGGAATCACGGATACAAACTTAATATTTACAACTTATGGTTTTGTAAACAATGTCCATGATCTTCCAATCACGACTTGCGTCTTGCTAATCTTTGAGCACTTGCTAGAGCTTTTCAAATCTCGACATGGTCTTCTCGGTGAATCACTAAGCAGAGAAGTCTACGCTAAACATGTCGTGAAGAAGCTTGAAGAGTACAAAGTAACCTCTAGAACATACGATGTATTGCCATTAGACCAGACCAGAGAGAGGTTTCAGGTTACAGAAGTGTTAAGAATTGGAAATAAGAAATCTTTTGTTCATTGCAGCGATCGGGTTTGTACATGTGGGATATGGCAACATTACAAGTATCCATGTCCACACATGATAGCGGTTTGCAGGAGGCTGAACATTGACCATATGCAGTATGTGAATGACTTCTACAATGCAAAAAGCTTTCTTGGAGTTTATGCATCTGATTTCAACCCGCTTCCTAAAGTCACCGATTGGCCAGAAGCTTCTGATGTTCCAAGACTGTTTCCTCCTGGAAGTCGTCCTATACATCAGTGCCCAGTTAATGACAACACAGCCACCGTGTAACGACTCAGCTTATATGTAAGTTTAGGGGAAACTTCGGATTTATAAGAAGCGGCTAAAAGAAGATTTTCTTTTTGTTAAATATGTTTACTGGTTTTTCAACGTAGGTTTTTTGGGAGGGTGTACAAAACCGTTTTGGTTCATATGTAACGTTTGAACTTTGAATGGAAGAAGTAGGTCTTTGTATTGTATTTTTGTATTGCTTATGGAAAATGTACTTTTACAAAACTACTAGATAACATATACTTTCTTGCTTGACTATTGCATCAGAACTTCGTTCAGATTAAGTTTTTCATAGTCAGAGTAAAAAGGGAAATAATTAAAAGAAGAATCGAAACCAAATGTAGAAGGAAGGCTAATCTTGTAACGCTCAGATTTCATCCTTTTAGTCTCCATATCGTAAAGACCAACCCAATCAAAACCACACATCATTGCAACATTGGTTCTTGGGAGTAACCACACAGGTCTAACTAACTTATCTTCTTCTACTATACTTTTCTCTTCTTTAACATTCACCCATGTCTTCCCAAAACTACTATGCAGCATCCAAAAACCCTTTAAGCTTTCTCCGCTTTTCGCTTTCCAAAGCATTATGCATAGCTTACCTTCGTATTTTGCTAAAATTAGAGGACTACCTTTCGCTAAATCGTCGTTAGGAAGTGGGAGGAGAGACCATGTTGACGTTTTCATACAAAACCGGAATACATTCTTGTTTGAAGTCGTTAGCCAATGCAAGAAACCGTTAGCAGATATCGGTACACTTGAAATCCTTAAGAATTCGCCTTTTGGTAGCTTCACATCATCTTCTAATCGTTTCCACGCAAACAAATCAGAATCGAAAACTTCGCATAAGAGTGTGTAGCAATTATCATTCTCTATCTTCATTTCCTGAGATAGTTTGACAATCTTATATCGCAAAGGATTTGCTCGAATAACCATTAAACCGGTTATAATAGTCCGAGAACATCCGGTTTCCGGATTTGGTATAGTTTGGAATTGTTTTGTGGTTGGTTTACAAACCATATACGGGTTTCTTCCATAGCGCTTAGAATCAACACAGAGCAAAATCCCATGACTTGGGTCACAAGCTTCGATCTTTACCTTCTCTAACGGTAAAAAATCGAGCGAGAGATTAGATCTACGATGAATGTTCTCAGAAGTGAGGACATAACTGGAATAGAAAGCTGAATGATATCCTTGGTATTGAAGAAAAACTCCAAAGACAGATTTGGTTCTACGAAGATTCAGGTTGATAAACGAAGATTCAGAGATTAGTTTATAGTAATCTTTGTTTAGAAATCTGAACTTTTCAATTGCTGACACCGGACAGTAGGACAAAATTTCTAAGATTATGTCTTTGTTCATTGCAGGATAACTCATTTTTGATGATAGAGAAGTTAGCAAGATGACCATATCTTGGAAATGGATGTACTTTATTTTGATGATACTTAATTAGGGTTTATATATGTTTTGTCAATTTTGAGCTTATGTACTTTATTTTTTATAGATCTGTTTAACAAATGTGATTTATAAATTCACTAATGGGTTATAAGGTCTCTTTTTAAAAACATATTTTAACAAAATTGTATATCGCATAGTTGTTACTATATACATAAATTCCTTTTTTCTTTCTTGATTTTACATGCAACTTTTCCTTATTGAGATAATATTTTAAGTAAGGTCTATCATATTTATTAAATAAGTACTTTAATTAAATAAGTATTTTAGATAATTAAATAAATACAATCTTTTTTTCAAAAACATCTTGATCTTTCCATTAATGAGAAATTGTGTTTACATGGTTACAATGTAAAGCAAAGCAATAATAATGAAAAAGGCACATAATTATGGAAATAAAGCCTTTGAGCCAATGAAATAAAAATATAATATTTATTTTGTAAAAATGACATCTCATTGCATTTCATCAACCATCATCATCATATATCTTACAATATCCAAAATATAATATTCTTCATCATTTATTTTTGTCAGAACACAAAAATTTATTATTTAAATTGAAAAATTAAACTTAAATTTATTTTTTTAGAACATAATAGTAAAAAAATCCTTATAGCAATAAAAACAAAATGAAGTATGATCTTTTATCTATTTTCATCTACATTACAGAGAAAACAAAAGAGAAATAAACCAGCTGATATAACAATTACAGCAAAAAGGTCTTATATAACATTCAATTTCTACGGGTTTTTTTTTTCCTAATTCGACCATGTTAAACCTTACTCTTTTTTTTTTTGAATAAGTACGAGATTATGAGCCGAAGCCTATACATCCCTCAGACTCGAGACCAGAGCATGTTATATGGTCCAATCTCAATCGCTACTCGAACCGGCGACCTCTAGACTTTTGCGAGAGATTTTTACTAATTGAGCTATTAGCACTTGCTAATCTTACTCTATTAATCTTTATCCAAACCAACTCTGTCGTAGTTTGAGTAGAAAGGGATAAGATGATAACTTGGTGAGTATCCGAACGGGAACAAAAGTTTCTCCTTATGCAAATATCGACAGATGTTGTTGTTCATATTGTAAAGACCAAGCCGATCACTAGCCGCTACTGATACGACGTCGCTACTTGGGAACCACAAGGGTTGTGCATATTCATCTTTCAACGCTGTAACTTTTGCATCTTTCACTTTAACCCAACACTTTCTGTAACTGTTCTCCAAAACCCATAACTCAGCTCCGTTTCTTGACTCCGAATGTAAAGTACTTACACCTAGTTTCCCTTCGTAGCTGACCAAGACGAGACTCTTATCACCTAATAGTTCGTCCGGAACAGAGAAGATAGACCAAGTTTCGGTTCGCATACAGAACCGGATCACGTTGTTCTTCCCTGTTAACCAATGCAAGCAAGAATATGCGGATACAGGTATAGCTTCTCTAGGGAAAAACTCAGCTAACTCGAAACCATTCAGTCGCTTCCACGTGAACGAATCAGAATCGAAAAGCTCACAGTTGTTATTATAGTAACCATCCTTGGTCATCCAATTCCTTGGTTCAGAAACCCTAATGATCTTATACCTAAAAGGGTTCGAAGAAATCACCATCAAACCGGTTGCGATCTTCCTATATCGAGTTTTCGGGTTTGGTATGATCCGGTACTGCTTTGTAGCCGGTTTACAAACAATGTACTCTGGTATTGTTTTCACACCTTTAAACCTATCACCGATACAGAGCAAAATCCCATGATTTGTATCACAAGCTTCGATCTTTGTGTTGTTCCGAGGAAGAAACTCAAGCGAGATTGATGTTTTGTCTTCTTGATCTTCTTGTTCATCTTCAATGCCGGGGATGAAACGGGTGCGATACCTAAACCATTTGTCTTCGTAATGAACAAAATAGCCGAAAACAGAGTTGGCTCTATGGAGATGATGATCGATAAAACTCAACTCGTAACTTCGTTTGTTGCATTCTTTGTTTAGTAAACGGAACCTTGCAATCTCCGTCGCTGGACAATGAGAGAGGATCTCTTGAATCACGTCTTGGTTCATCATCATCGTCGCAAGAGAACAAAAATATTTGAGAGAGGTTTATTTTGAGATCGATTTCAGAGAAAAAGGAAGCTTTCTCGTATCTTGTAAGGTGAAATATGGTTCTATATCCTCTATATATAGAGAGAGACTAGCTAGATTAACCCTATTCTGTGAAGGAAATAGTAATTTGCTAAGGATAAAGAGAGTCTTGGGCACAAAGGTTTCCTCTTGTTTGCGATTTCCAAAAAATAAAAATAAAATATAAACAAATAAAATCAAGCCACTATTATCCAACTTTTTTATTTATTTATCTCCTTTTTCTTTCTTTGGCGACAAGTCAATGGCAGTAGTAGATCATCCTCGGTGTTAATAAATTTCAGATATCAGTTTTTTTTTCTTCTATATTTTATTAAAAAAATACAGTGATAATTTCCTTTGTTTTTATATTGTTGGCAACTATAGAATATTATATTTTCCGAGATTATGGTATTTAATTTTAATTTTCTGTACTTTAGTAAATGAATAAATTTATACATATTTATCAATTAAATTATTATATTAAATTTTAAATTTTAAATCATTAAATATTTATTGGTATAGTAATTTAATTGAAATTAAAACTCGTTAAATATTTCTAGGTATTTTGAACATATTAAATTTAGATTTAATTTTTTTTTTTTTGGAAGTACATTCTACATAATGCTAATGAAATTCTTATAAATATAGTATTTCCCTAAATAAATAGAAAAGGAGTCTACATAAATAAGGAAGTTTTCAAAAAGAATTGCAAAATAATAGGGTTTGTACATTTTCTTTCAAATGTATAGATGAATAGATTATTGTTCAAAACTATTATTATTTAAAAATTACAAACATTATTTAGTTACCGAAAATAATTTAAAAAAACAAGAAAAAATAGAATAAATAAATTTAGATTTTTTACCAAAAGCTGATGCCTTTCTTTTTCATACCCAAAAAAAAAGAAAAACAATATTGGCTCTTGACTCAGAAAGCTATCTTTGTGGCACGTGACATAGCTTACAGTGTCACAAGAGAAGGGCGATTTACATCGTATCGGACGTTAGGAGATCCGACATGGCTTCATGGTAGGATAGAAGATGATTGACGGAGGGGAATGTGAAATTCTGGTATAGTCATGGTTTTTGCAGGTCTATGCTTTTTTGTTTTCAAGTGCTAATATATAACCAAGTGCTAATATATAACTAAGTGCTAATAGCTCAATTGGTAATATATAACCATTTGTTAATAGCTCAATTAGTAAAGATTTCTGGCAAAAGCTTAGACGTCGCCGTTTCAAATAGCATTGGGGACGGAACCATATAACATGTTTCGGGTTCGGATCTGAGGGATGTATGTGCTTTGGCCCAAAACCTATTTGATTATTAAAAAAAAAATGAATATATAACAGATGAGAGTTATAACATATCATATGAACAATAATTCAAATATATTTTATAAGTATTACAGATTTGATAGTATGATAACAAGGAACTGAAACAATAATATAATAATAACCACAAATGTTTATGTTTTTTTCATGCATATATTCTTTATTCTCCATCTCTGTTCAAACAAACTCTCTCGTAGTTTGAGTGGAATGGGACAAAATATTTCATCGCAGGACAATACATATGGTAGAAATCTTGCATCCTATACAAGTAACTATATATATCGTTGTTCATGTTGTAGAGACCGAGACTAGAACTGCTCGACCTTGATACACTGTCGTTACTTGGGAACCATATGGGTTGCGCCTTGAAGATATCATCACCGCCTAATGCTTTGACTTTCGCATCTTCCAAACGTACCCACGATGTTGCAAAACTCTTCTCCAGAACCCATATATCAGATCCTTCTCCCCATCTAGAATGGATCACACCTAGCTTCCCTTCGTAGCTGACCAACATGAGACAGCTATCGCCCACTAGCTCGTTCGGAACAGGGAAGATAGACCATGTTTCGGTTCTCATACAGAACCGCATAACATTGTTGTTCTCCGTTAACCAGTGCAAGCAACCGTAAGCCGATACCGGTTTAACATCTCCGGGAAAAAACTCGTCCGTTTCCATATTTGGTAGTCGCTTCCAAGCGTCCGAAACAGAATCGTAAACTTCGCAAGAAAGACTATCAACACCATTTTTACTCACTTTTGCATTTGTATCAGACACCCTAATGATCTTATACCGAAACGGGTTAGAAGAAACCACCATTAAACCGGTTGCGACAGTGAACCACCGGGTCTTCGGGTTTGGTATGATCCGGTACTGTTTTGTAGCCGGTTTACAAACGATGTAGTCTGGTATTCTTCTCCCACCTTTATACACATTATCATCGACACATAGCAAAATGCCATGATGTGTGTCACAAGCTTTGATCGCGACATTGTTGTGACGGGGAGGAAGAAATGCAAGACTGATCGGGATTTTTTCTTCACCATTGAAAGCAGAGACAAAACTGGAGCGACTACGAAACTTTTGGTCTCGGTAATGAAATATATAGCCGAAGAAAGAGTTGGTTCTATCAAGTTGACGTTTGATAAAACTCAACTCATAGCTTCGTCTGTTGTACTCTTTGTTCAGTTGACGAAGTTTTGCCATTTCCGACGCAGGACAATAAGACATGATCTCTAGCATCACGTCTTCAACCATCACCATTGTCGGAGAATTATCTTTCGCCATTGTAGAGTATTATTATGATTCGATCAGATAGGAAAAGTTTTTTTTTCCGAATCCGAAAAGTTTGATGATGAATCCTCTACGTAAAATGAAAGAGATACCCTAATTTGTGAAGCACAAGAAGTCTTAGGGCACAAGGTTTCTTTCTTTCCAGTTTGCGATGTCTATATTGGTGATTATCACTAAACGTTACGATGGTTTCCTTTTAACCGATGCATCTCTTCTAATTTTGACGTATCACTTTTATTTCCATTTTTGTTTTGTTGAAACGACGTCAAATCAATTATTTTAATTAAGACTTAGGTTAATAGTAAAGGTTTTAATGTGTTTCAGATCTTGGTTTTTTTTTGTTGTTGTTGTAGTAGCATATTTTGTTTTAACAATATGAAATGATATTTTGCTTAGTTTTTTTTTGTCTTTATAAAAGATATTGTATTTTCTTAGTCTTAATTTGGTTTTTATTTTTAATTTTAATTTACTGTATTCAAAATAAGTGAAATGAATATACAAACATGTATTAATTAAAAAATAATTATATTTTAATTAACATTAAAATGATATATATAGGTATCTGATCACATATATCAGTTTTTGATTTATCAATATAATAATTTAATAACAACTAAAAAGTATAGAAGATTTTTTTTTTGTCAACACAAAAAGTATATAATTGATTGGTTAAATTTGTATAGTCTCTTTATTTTTTAATGTGAATAGGAAGTTTTGAGGAAAAAAATCCAAAATATTTGGTTTTGCACATCTTCTTTAAAAATTGGCTAAGAGAAAATCAAAGAATAGTTTCCCTAATATTTACTTATTTAGAAAACCTTTTAAAAAGGAAAAAAAAAAAGAGTAAATGATTAATGAATGATTCTTCAAAACTATTCTAAAAACTACAAACATAAAAAAAAAAAGGGAAATTACAAACGATGGGTGTGGTTGACCATTTTATTCAATTGATCGATCTCATCTTTCGAAAATTAGCTCCCAAATTTTATTCCAACTTTAGCCCTATACACATCTATTAGAATAGGATATCATTTAACCAAAAGAGTGCAGAAGAAAAATCTTTAGGCTGGATTTCTTTTTGTCTAGGGAAAATAAAAAGGAAATAATTTGTGAGATGACTCAAACGGCGCATCCCTTAGAGTTTATATCAGCAGCCACAACCTTTGAGCATCCATTTAACTTTCAAAAGGTTTCCTTTATTCTTTTTTTCCCCATTGAAATCGATTCTTAGCAACCCATATAGCTCTCGCCAGTTCCGGTGGACTCCAAATTTCAGTAACCGTCACAGTGAATACAGCGGTGGTCTTGATAACCTAAGGTAGGAACACTCTTTTAAACAATCGGCTTGATTCGGATCTACTTATCTATGGATTATAAACCTCTAAGTTTTTTGATTCTGTTTTTTATTAGATGACGGATCTACAACTTCCAAATCGGATCATTGCATATGGTGAAGAAGCTCTCGGAGAGCGAGTCAATGTATATCACAAGATGAAAACCCTCTCTCTGGTTTTCGACGCCATGGATGATGAGGAGAGAGAGTGGATCCGGTCGACCTCGTTTGGTGTATGTCAATCTCTTACAGGCCCTTTCACCATATTACGGCCAATGTGCGTACCTCAGGTGCAGTCCGCCTCCGGTTCCGGTATGATGGCAGTTTTTTTAATTCACGCGCATGCCACAGGGGGACTTGAAGAATGTGTTGAAGTTAATGTTGACCATTTAGAGTCTGAAATAAAGAGGTTTGTTTCCGCTATTATACTAGCTGGTGTTGCGTAGGCAAAAATACCTTCCGTTACTGTTGTATTTGGGTGTGTTACCCAGTAACTCTGAATATGTTCGGTAATAAAGACATTGTATGTGTAATGTTTGGCTTATCGTATTCCAAAAACGTTACTTGTTCAAGATCACTTTTATTTTTGTTGAGGTGAATTTTTTATGAATTTTAAGTATATCACTAGTTATATTGTTTTTTTTTTTTGTGTGGTTATATAATATGTTGGTCCGGTTGTAAGTGGTTGGATCGACATTTAAGTTCCTAGGGTGTCGCTGGTAAATATAAATGTTAGTTATACATCTATCAAAACTTAATCTGTTTTTATTAAAGTTATCGGATAACTTCTTGCCGCTATTGCGTTCCTATTTGGATTTATTTAGACCCATTGGGTAATTTGTGTTGGGTTCCTTAATTACTGTTTAGGTTATAGTTTTTGGATGTTTTCTAATGCTATGGTAGTTGTAATACTGTTTGGGTTGACTCATTAGTGCTTAGGGTATAGTTTTTGTATGTTAACTAATGTATAATTAAGGTTGGGTTGCCAATATATTGGCTAGGGTATATATTTTGTAATTAAGCCCTTATTATAGTAGGTTTTGCTTTACAAACCAGTTGGGAAAGTATTTTATAATGCTTGATAAGCTTTGGGTTGGGTTGTTTTATGGTTTAGTATCAGTTTAGATAACAATTTAGTTATTCGGTAAACTGATTTGTATTCCCATTCTTATATAATATCGGATAATATCGTATTGGTTCTTCCTGGAGAATGTTTTGGTTTACCTTTACTTTAAGGGGGGAATTTACTAATGTAATAACTTAATCTGTTTTTATTAAAGTTATCGGATACCTTCTTGCCGCTATTGCGTTCCTATTTGGATTTATTTAGACCCATTGGGTAATTTGTGTTGGGTTCCTTAATTACTGTTTAGGTTATAGTTTTTGTATGTTTTCTAATGCTATGGTAGTTGTAATACTGTTTGGGTTGACTCATTAGTGCTTAGGGTATAGTTTTTGTATGTTAACTAATGTATAATTAAGGTTGGGTTGCCAATATATCGGTTAGGGTATATATTTTGTAATTAAGCCCTTATTATAATAGGTTTTGCTTTACAAACCAGTTGGGAAAGTATTTTATAATGCTTGATAAGCTTTGGGTTGGGTTGTTTAATGGTTTAGTATCGGTTTAAATAACTATTTAGTTATTCGGTAAACCGATTTGTATTCCCAATCTTATATAATATCGGATAATATCGTATTGGTTCTTCCTGGAGAATGTTTTGGTGAAGACTGTACTGTATCTTCGATAATCATTGCTGCTTCTCCAAAATCTTCCTCCTCCCCAGGTCGGCGCGTCAGAAGAGTTGCAGAGAAGCGTGTTGTTTGTTGCCTAGGGTGTAGGTTGCTCAAAAAGCTATTATTTGTATCTATCAAATCAAGGCAGGGATATCGATGTAACTATGCCACACTAGAGGAGAGAGATTTAATTTTTTTTTTATCACCTCTAAAAATTTAGTTTTTCATTCTACTGAGTACATATATTTAATAAGCCCAAAAAAAAAAGGATAACTGAATTTTGATCTCTCACCAAAAAGCTGATGTCTGTTTTAAACCAAAAAAGAAAACAAACTTTACAACATTAGACTGTGTTCTTAATTTCATAACCCAACTCCAAAAACATCAGCTACAAAGGAAAGAAAGAAGAAAAAATAAACCATACTCTTGAAGACAAAATCCCAAGAGAATCTTCTAACTTAACCACAAAAATGTATTCAAAAAGATCTCTACCTCATTGTTTTTTGTTTTTTTTTCATGTCTGAAACTTTGAACTCTGCTTTGAATACTGACCAAAAACTATCTTTTCTGCTTTTTCATGGATCTTCCTCTCCTCTAGTTTTGATGAAAAGCTAAGTAAGCTCAGAATCTGAAGCATGACCAGTTTGTTTTCTGCGTATTGCTGGACTTAAAGGACTCATTGGACTCAAAGGCAATCTATTATCTTTCCTTGCTTTTATGCTTCTTCCAAATGGATTCAATGGTGATGCTTTTGGCGATGATCTTGCTTTCACCGGTGAAGTTCCCATAGATCTCAACTTTTCTGAACCTGCATTGATGATATTAACATAAACATATTTGTCTTTTTATGATGATCTATTAACTTAAAGATCCTGTCAATATAGTGATTAAGGTTGAATAGGACTAACCTAAGCTTGGACTTTTTCTGAGCTTTACCATTTCACCACTTTTCTTTAAAGCTGAGACCTTTTTGATGGGAGCTTCTGAGTAGACTGATCTTGTATCTGAGTATTCAGATACTGTATCTTGACACAATGATTTTGTATCTCTTGTACTCATGGCATTGGGTGGATCTTCAACCACTGAAACGCTTTCAGATTCACTACTTCCTTCTGAGCTTTCTTTTGAGTTTGGATTCATCTTCTCTCTTTCCGAAACCCGGTATGAGAAGAGTTGGAAAGGGATTTGGTTCACGGATGCGGTGTGAGACCCTGCATCACTTGGAAACTTTCTCAAGAACCTTGCTTCTAAATCCCAACAATCAACTAGTGGAGTTTGCATTTGAGGATGACCATGATCTGGATTCACAACTAGGAACTTCTTGATGTAGCGTAGTATCCGGCAAATCGAAGAGAAGTTAGGACGCTGGCTCGGTTCTGAGTGCCAGCAACGTTTGATCAGACTAACGAGGTATTTTGGTGAAGGGAAAGGGAAAAGAGGTCTCTCTCCCATCCTAATGTTGATGGCCATTTGTTCACCTTGAAGATGACTATCTTCAAATGGAACTTTACCTGTTATGAGCTCAAAACACACCATTGCAAAACTATACACATCAGCTTTATGAGTCAACTTGGACTTCGGAGTTGTACCATTCAGGTCTTGTTCCATCTCTGCTAGAACTTCAGGTGCATACCAGATCACAGGATCAGGAGTGCCTGGTCTCGAGGAAGACCGAGAAGACTGAGCTTTGACAGAAGATAAACCGAATCCAGAAATTTTCGCATGGAAATAACCTTCAGTATGACTCCTCTCTTTCAAAAGAATGTTCAAGGGGTTTAAATCTCCATGGAAGATATCATTTCCATGGAGATACTCCATTCCTCTTGCAATTTGCAGCATGATATCAATCACGACTGGAACCGAGAACAGATATCTTCGTCTTGGTCCGCAGTTCTCTTTCATGTAGCTCTGCAGATCTTTGTGCATCAACTCCATAACCAAAAAACATTCTTTCCTTTCTTCATCATAGAATCCACAGAGGTACTGAAGTATGTTCGAATGACAAAGCGCTAAAAGAGATGAAATTTCAGAACTTAGCGGCTCAAGATCGCTGAAGAAGTGCCTCACTGTAAAACTATCACCTAGCCATTGTATCTCCTTGTATTGTCCATCTGCATCTAACCTTCTTTTCACTTGGTAATCCTTTGAACCTAGAAGTATAGAGCTCGGAAACAGCTTCCCGTTAAACTGCTCCAAACCGGTTAACTTCTTCAAAAGCAAATCAGCTAAACGCTTCTCGGTTTTACCAATATCATCGCTGTCCGATTTCCTCTTCTCTTGTAATGCCTCCACTAGATTCCATCTATCTTCTCTCCAAGAATGCTCAAACCGGCTGCAAATATCTCTAGACACCAGATACTGTTTCCCAAACCTCCATTGAAACAGCTTAGGATCATTCCACTCTCTATCATACTTTCTTGAAAACACAACTCTCCTCCTCTCCATCTCAGAAGGGTCAAGACCCGAAATCTCCCCAGCATCTTCGATGGCTTCAACAACAGCAGAGAAATAACAGAACAAGTTGTGTATATGAAACTCAACACAATCTTTGTTCTGATGAAGATTGATAACTTTACCCCACCAGTCACTACTGTCCATACACTGCTTAACATAAGACTCGCCTTCTTTAAAAACTCTGTAAAGCTCTCTTAAAGGTTGCTCAAGAGCTCTCCATTTAGTTTGCTTCTCCTCAAGCTTGAGATTCTGTCTGATCTCTTCTGCTAGGGTGTTGAAAGCTAAACTGAAGATTTCTAACAAGAGACAACACTGTCTTTGGTTGATCAAGATATCATCTCGTAATACCATAAGTGCATTAAGACTTCCAAGAACTTCACCGATTTGTCTGAATTGCTCCATCAGACAAACAAACAATGTTCTGTTATGGAAAACCCTCAAAATCTCTTTATATCTCAGTAAAACCAACAAAACTGTTTCCAAAAGGCTTTGAGATATACGAAAGCTGTAAAACAGAACCAATCATACAATGAGACATTGAGACCAAAGAACATTTCTAGACATTGTTCAATAGGGTTTTGAGACAAAATTTAACCTGAAAATGAAGATCCTTTTGATAAAGAATCGATCAATGGAGACTACAAATCTCCGACCTGATCACCAAAGCAAACAATCTCAAATTGGTATTTTGATTAGAAAACATCAACAGTGGCAATTTTACCTGTATAGAGAACGTTGTCACACCACCGGCCGGTCAGTAAAACTTGGAACCACCGGCAGATTCGAAAGAGAAAGGAATCAAAATCGTATCTTTTATATTTTTGGTTTGGCCCTAATAATTCCCAGAATTGTGATTGATCGTTGAAAACATGTCCTTGTTCTTTGGAGTTCCCATATAATAATGTGTTCCCGCGAGTTTGGTTGGTTATACTACTTTTTATTATGTTAATGGTCTTCACGACGTTGCGAAAATATTAATTTTATTTACTCAGCACAAAAAGTATAAAAATGTCAATAATTTATTTCGTATTTATTTATATACTAGGATCGGATTTACAGTAGTGTGAGGGAAAATTGCCGACTTATTTATTTATTTATATGTAAATGACATTATCAAAATGGATTGTTGATGTTGTTGGTAAAAGTTTTAGTATTTTTCTTTTTTTTTTTTTTCTTAAAAAGTACATGTAAAAAATAGTTAGGTGTTAAGGAAAATTAATAAATATATTGTATTATGTAGATTTTTACCTATATAAAGTAACAAATGCAGTGTAATATTTTCACTACTATATGTTTTTGTGAAGGAGTTTAAGAATAAAAATAAGTAGTGGGTTTGTGATCTAATCAGAGCCGCAATGACTGGTGTTGCAGATTTACATGATTACGGAATTATTTTTAGAAACATAAACCTGAATAGTTTTTTTTTTATAATCTCCGAGGAGGAAAAGATTACCACAAAATTTAGAGGTATGAGCATATTATACTAGATCAGGCTTTGAGAATAGAGACGACCGCTGCCTACCGTACATCTGGATACAAGAGTGATGCAAGATAAGAAAGTAATCAAATTTTAAACCTTGACAAAAGCTTCTAATTAAATATCTATATTATTAATTTTTGAACATTTTAAGGATATTTCTAGTTTTATAAGTAATGTTAAAATCTATAATTTGTGTTTGGTTATATAGATAGTAGATATAATTTAATTATAAAGTTGTTTGGATATGGAATACATTGTAAATAATTTGAAAATGAGGATTTATTTCTAAAATATACTTCAAAAATATTAGTATAGATAAGGTAATATGACCAAAAAAAAATTATTGTTAAGGGGAAGGAAATTATTGCAAAACTTGGAGGTTTGAGTATAGGAAAGCTTCGAGAAGTTCCTCTAAGAGATAATGAAAAATCTATTTGGATTTATATTTGATGAACAATTCTATAGTCGTGCAAATCTGCAACATTAACAATTATGTTTATGACTAAACAAGTAAAGGGGACCAGCAATTCTTTTAGTGATCTTTAATGTTTATTCATTGTATTCGAACGACTATTAAACAAACAACTTAGCGAAAAAAAAAATTGTTAAATTAAATTAAAATAACAGTAGTAAATAAATAACTGAAACGAATACAAGATAATTAAAAAAAAAACTAAGTTAATCTGATTTAAAATTAAAATAAAACAAAAGTTATATTATATTAAAATAAATATAATTATTATTTTAAAAATTTAGCCAATTAGTTTCGAATGTATAGTATAGATCCGTATACTTTAATTTTTATCTGAAATTTATATTTTTAGACATCGATTATTACAAAGTTAAAAAGTCAAGAAATCTATATAGCAACTTGAAACGAACAACACAACTACCGATTATATAAATAGCCAAATTCAAACATTTTTTTAAAAGTGTTATTTTTGAACCATATCTGTCAAAATCAACAATTCCCGGAACATATATTGGTTTATGTGAGATACAACGGTCATATTAACCCTTTAGAAAAACAAAAGTTTGGTTATTTCCGGTTTTAAAATTTGTAACCAAACTAACCGAAATCCCAGAGCTTTTTTAGAGTTTAGTTTCTCTACAGTTTACAAAAATACCTTTGAAATTGAAATATCAATTCCGTTGGTAGAATAATATCTTCTTCCATATCTCTCGGCCTCATGGCTTCTTCTTCGTCTCATATGAGGAGATACCATGTCTTTCCAAGCTTTCACGGTCCAGATGTCCGTAAAGGATTTCTCAGTCATTTACACAATCACTTCGCAAGCAAAGGTATCACCACTTTCAACGATCGGGAGATCGAGAGAGGCCATACGATTGGACCTGAGCTCGTGCAAGCTATTAGAGAGTCCAGAGTCTCGATCGTGGTGCTCTCGAAGAGGTACGCTTCTTCCAGCTGGTGTTTAGATGAATTGGTTGAGATCTTGAGGTGCGAACAAGCTTTGGGGCAGATCGTGATGACTATTTTTTACGAAATCGACCCGTCTCATGTTCGGAAACAGAGCTGTGATTTCGGGAGAGACTTCACGAAAACTTGTCAAGGGAAGACTGAGGAAGTGAAGCAGAAATGGATCCAAGCTTTGACTCATGTCTCAAACATAGCTGGAGAACACTCTCTTAATTGGTATGTAAAACGTCTCTGAATGTAACTTTGTGCTTTTTATCGATTTTTTGAAAAAGGCTTCACTTTTTTAGTCTCCTTAACATGGTTTTTTGTCTGCATTTGTTAGGGCTAATGAAGCAGAGATGATTGAAAAGATTTCTATGGATGTTTCAAGTAAACTGAATGCTAGACCGTCTAGAGATTTTGAGGGTATGGTAGGACTTGAAGCTCACTTGAATAAACTGGTCTCTTTGTTATGCCTCGGGTGCCATGATGTGAAAATGATTGGCATTTGGGGTCCTGCAGGAATTGGTAAGACTACTATTGCTAGAGCTTTATTTAGCCGAATTTGTAGCGATTTCCCACTTAGTTGTTTTATGGGGAACCTCAAAGGAAGTTATAAGAGCATAATTGGTGGTGTTGATGAATATGCTTCCAAGTTGTGTTTACAAAGCCAACTTCTGTCCAAGATTTTGAACCAAAGGGATATGAGGGTATATAATTTAGATACAATAAAGGAATGGCTACAAGATCAAAGAGTGCTTATCGTTCTTGATGATGTAGACGATCTTGTGCAATTAGAGGCCTTGGCTCAAGAGCTTTCTTGGTTTGGTTCTGGAAGTCGAATTATCATTACCACTGAAGATAAAAGGATTGTAAAGGCACATGAGATTCATGATATTTACCATGTGGGTTTTCTTTCCAAAGAGGATGCTCTTAAGATCTTTTGTCTATCTGCTTTCAAGAAAAGTTCTCCATGTCGTGGATTTGAAGACGTTTCAAGGAAAGTAGCAAAGGTTTGTGGTAATCTTCCATTAGGCCTTTGTGTTGTGGGTTCATCTTTGCGTGGTGAGACCAAAGACGAGTGGGAACTTCAACTATCTAGTCTAGAAACTAGTCTTGATAGAAAAATTGAGGACGTATTAAAAGTGGGATATGACAAATTACTGAAGAAGCATCAAGGTATATTTCTCCACATAGCTTGCTTCTTCAATAATGAGGATGCTGGTCTTGTGACATCTATGCTCGCTGACAGTAACTTGGATGTCAAAAATGGGTTGAAGATCCTAGCCGATAAAGCTCTTGTCCATATATCTACCGATGGGAAGATAGTGATGCACTATCTACTCCAGAAATTGGGTTGGCAGGAAGTTGTTGAACAGTCTAGCGAGCCAGGAAAACGTCAGTTTCTAGTGGAAGCTGGAGATATTCTCAATGTTCTGGCAAATAGAACAGTAAGTTCTTACGTATATCTTACTTGGCACGTCTTGCTTATCATGAAAATAAACTGATCAACCAATCTTTTTTGGGTACATGTTAGAGTGCTGAATCTGTCATAGGTATATCTTTTGATATGTCCAAGACTGGGGAGTTGTTTATAAGTGCGCGAGCGTTTGAAAAAATGCGTAATCTCCAATTTTTAAGAGTTTGCATGTGTGGTTCCAATGCAAATGTTAACTTGGGTACACTAGAGGAATGTCTACCTCGTTTAGAAGACATGGACTTTCGCTCTCGTCTAAGGTATCTATATTGGAGTTCATACCCAGGAACAAATCTTCTTCCAACATTTCGGTCTGAATTTCTCATCGAGCTCAATATGCCATCAAGCAAACTCGAGAAGCTATGGGGAGGAATACAGGTTGGTATTTGATATTTTTTAATATGTTCCTGATGATTTAGCCATATATATATGATATATCTCATTTGTTGTGGTGTTTGACATGGAGTCCCTTGTGCATCTGAAGAAGGTAAATCTGAACTTTTCTTTTAAGTTGAAAGAGATCCCAAATCTTTCGAAAGCTACAAATCTGGAGACACTGACGCTTATACAATGCATGAGTTTGGTGAAGTTTCCTTGCTCTATCTTGAATCTACACAAATTAAAAACAGTGAGGATGTGGGGTTGCAAAAAGCTACAAGTTTTTCCAACAAACAACAACAACTTAGCATCTGTTGAGACATTCGACACAAACCATTCCTCACGATTGAGAAGTTTTCCAGATATTTCTAGGAACATCAAGAATCTCTGTGTAGGAGGTCCATCAATTGTTGGTCCTTGGTCTCATCCCAAAAGGCTCGTTGGTAGAGACCTCAAGAGATTAACACATGTTCCAGAAAATATAAGGAAGCTAGACTTAAGCGGTAGTGGTATAGAGAGGATTCCAGATTACGTCAACGGTCTCCATTGGCTACAAACTCTTATCATCGAAAACTGTAGAAAACTTGTGTCAGTGGCGGATCTCCCTTTCTCGCTCAAGTCCCTACACGCAGACAATTGTGTTTCACTTGAGAAAGTCGAATTATTTTCAGTCAGGGAACTCATGTTCCGTAACTGTTTGAGGCTCAATGCTGAAGGAAGAAGACAGATCATACACCATTTGAAAGCCAAGTATGTTTGCTTACCGGGTAAAGAACTCCCTGTGGAGTATACTCACAAAGCTACAGGAAACTCCATAACCATCTCCCCAGGGAGTGCTTCATCAAGATTTAAGGCTTGCCTCCTGCTTTTGCCAATCAAGGACAACGCACTTCTTCATGTAACTTGTCATCTAAGAAACAAAGAAGGTGTGGTCGTTAACCAGATAAACTATTTGGCATTGACTTCAGAGCAGCCTCCGCAATTTCAATGGCAGCATCTTTTTATACTTGGTGGTGACTTGTTACCTCAACAAAACGGAAGCCCTGAAGTGGATGTGAATACAAGTGAGATTCTGTTTGAGTTCACCTGCTCAGATAACCACAAGATTATTGAGTGTGGTGTACTGATCTTGAAAGATGGATATGATGACTATTTGGGCTGTGAACCTAAAGCTGTAGGCGACATCTGCCACCGAAATGTTGAGGTGTCTAAAGTTGAGGATGTGGATAGCACTACACACACAGGCTGCTGGAGTTGCTTCAGGAAGCTTGGTCCAAGAAAATAAAAACAAACGCTCCATTCTGATTTGTAAGATTTTTTTGGCTGTTTCATATTTTCCTACAATTTTTCAATAATAGTTTTTTTTTATTCAGTTCACAAACCTGTCAATAGGTACGCAAGTTCCAAGCCAAAACATATATATGTATGCTCCTAAGGTTTCCCACACACTTAGCCTCCTTGAGGAGTACAACAGGTTGAGCCCTTTGAACAACCAAAGCCCATGTCATTCCCTCTGTCTGCAAAATGTTTGATTTACAGGAATAAGACTTGAAAAAGTCGTCAGGGGAAGAGGGAAAAATGAAGACTCTGCGTCACATTTCGATTGTTTGTAGTGCCTCGTTGCAAAGCAAGTGTGAATCATTGACGGTATTTGCTGAAATTGTGTGAAACTGGAGGAATCAAGGAGAGTAATCTTGCATGTCTTTAATCAGATGTGTCAACTCGTTCTCTAGAAGACCATCGGTTTTATATTATTTGGTGGTGACTTGTTTCATCAACATGAGTCTGTTTCGAGTTCACTGACTGTAAGCGACACCATTGTATTAGGGTTAGTCTGTGTGTATGTTACACTGATTATCCAAACCTGTTTGTTCAATGTAATTTAACAAGGAACCACTCTTCTCCACCACAGATGATTTATGAAACTGAGAGTAGTAGCAGCAACCACCAAACCAATAAAAACATTGGCTATAATTCCCATCCGAAATCATCATTCCCAAAAACAAGAATTTATTTTCTTGTGGAAGAAATAAACTCTAGGGTTTGCAAACTTTGCCAAGAAATTTCGGTTCTTGATAATCAAATGGTCAATTCGATATTATACTTTTTTTTTTTTTATAAAACACATGGCCAGTTTACTTCTCAAACCAAATTTGCAAAAATTGGTATGTGGTTGTGAACAGAACCCACTAAGTTGAATCTTTCATGATTCGTCGTCTTCTTCCAACTTGACTCTCTGTTTCACCTCGACGACTATAACCGAAACACTCTTATTGTTGAGTCGTCGCAACTCTCCTTTGAATTTTCTCTTCTATTTTGTATTTTTCAGACATCTCAGTTTCTTCGAAATGTTCTTATCTCTTTTTACGCGTTTTGCTTCAATAAAAAAACCAAAGGAACTCTTGCATTCCCAATCATACTTTCTACTAAAAAGCATTCTAAAAACATTTTCAAGTTTTTAAGAATTGTACGTGATCTCTTATGGCATCTTCTTCTTCTTCGTCTCGCATCAAGAGATACCAAGTCTTTTCGAGCTTCCACGGTCCTGATGTCCGTAAAGGGTTTCTCAGTCATTTACAAAGTCATTTTGCAAGCAAAGGTATCACCACTTTCAGTGATCAGGGGATGGAGAGAGGCCACACGATCGTACCTGAGCTCGTACAAGCTATTAGAGAATCGAGTATCTCCATCGTGGTGCTCTCGAAGAAGTACGCTTCTTCAAGCTGGTGTTTAGATGAACTGGTTGAAATCTTCAAGTGCAAAGAAGATGAGGGAAAGATAGTGATGACTATTTTTTACGAAGTTGATCCCTCCGATGTTCGGAAACAGAGCGGAGACTTTGGGAGCGCTTTTCAGAAAACTTGTCAAGGGAAACCTGAGGAGGTGAAGCTGAGTTGGAGCAAAGCTTTGGCACATGTTGCAAACATAGCTGGGGAACAGTCTCTTAATTGGTATGTCTGAACGAATTAGTGCTTTTTATCATTCTTTTTGTAATTGTATACCGACCAACACCATTTTGTAATGCTTCTGTCAGGGATAATGAAGCAAAGATGATTGAAAATATTGCTACAGATGTTTCAAACAAACTCAACGCTACACCATCAAAGGAATTTTGAGGGGATGGAAGCTCACTTGACAAAACTGGACTCTTTTTATTAGGATATTGTCATGTCCCGTACATGTAACAACTATCTTTATTATATGTGTGTATCTCTTTTAGATTCAACACATGTAACAACTATCTTTAATATATGTGTGTATCTCTTTTAGATTCAACTATATCTTGTAAACATGTTTACATACTTTGGCCTTGAGGTCTTCATCAATAAGAGCGACAAACACTAAAACCTTACGTCTAGTTTGTTAAGATCGACAGACCAAACTCGCCGGTTTGCTTTCATCTATCCGATTTTGTACCAAAAGACAACTCTCAAAATCCTCATTTTGTTCTGTGGATCTATGTTTATATCCTGCAACTGCTTCAAATGCAGTGAGTAGTGGGAACAGAGAACAAAGAGCAAGAGAGGCACTTGGAACCATGGGAGCTTCAGTCTTCAGCTGATGGATCTTGTATGCTACTCTTTTGACTTTATTGGTTTGGTGGTCAAATTTGTGGGACTTAATGAGTGAAAAACATGTTTTCGAGTGATTGTGCTTTGCTTCACAAGATATGAGATATTTGTGGTGATTTCCTTGTGCAAGTTCTTGGTCTCTTGCTCGAGTTTGATACAAATGGATATGTATTTGTGGATACAAATGTATTACTTTCAAATGTACTTGGCTTTGGTTATAATCGGCACCTTGCATGGGCTCGTTTTCTTACCTGTAACTCTGTAAGTTAAACTGGACGAATCTGGTGATCAGGCTTGAACACCCAAGACGATATCTTCTCTATTCACTATGATTGATTCTTGATTGCACTCATTGTAGATTCCAGCATCGACACTTGGACATCTAGGAGCAGCAGCTGAGAGACGAACCTTCTTCTTCCTCCCTACTGAGTAAACTCCATATAGTCTCGCTTTCTTGGAGTCTTAAATCATACTTTGTGACATTACTCTTATTGCTCACATATTCTGACTCTTACACAAATGTATCGAAATTATCCAGCCAATGGCTCAAAGCATTGTTGGGTAGTTTCTTTCTTAACTAGAGTTATGCGTATATTATGCTAAATCCTATCATTTACTATCTATTCTAAAGATAGAATCTTAAATATTTACAGGGTCAAATGATCACCGTCTAGGACTCTAGGTACTTGAGACTGAATTTGCTTATCATTATGCTACTGGGAAGATAGAGTAAGTGCGGCTCCTGCAACACATCCTACAGCGGCTGCTGCAGCTGCTAAAACCATAGCGGTAATGGGTGTTATTCGGAGGCTGCCATTTCCACAGGAGAGTCTCCTCAAGATTAGTTTGCAGGACTTGCCAGCTTCTTTGTAAAGAAAACAATTGGATACTCCTTCAGTTATGGCTATTTCGTTCTACAGACATAGCAGGTAAGGTCAGAGAAAAAAATATGGGTGGAATTAGTTATAGCTTAGACGAGTTTCAGAGAGGCATTACCTTCATCCTGAAGTTATATATAGTATGCTTGAAAGCGAGAGTATCACTTGGTGAAGATGATAGTTTGAGGGAATGATCCTTCCATTCATGTACAAGCTTTTTAAGAAGAGCAACACTAGCTTCTATATTCTCCTTATATAGAATATCCCAGTGCTTAAAGCAATCAACGTTTTTGGTCACACAACAGGCAGAGATTGCTATAGCTTCCTTGGCTAGAACAGGATTTCCTGTAACAACAATAATCAATTACAACTCTATTTGGCGAACAGGGAGAGGGAAGCAGAAAACTCAAGGTATCAAGGTTTTTGTTTATTACCAACACCTTCTCCAGCTAATCTCAATGAAAACGTGAGTATCTGTTTCATTGTGTTGCTTCCTCTTGCACTCTCTGGTGCAAGGGCTACTTCCTTCAACAAGGGATAAATTGCCTCAAACCTCTTTGTTGCCTGTGTGCACCATGTTTTGTGATCAGAAAAGACAATTGCATCATGGTTTTGTTTTGTTTATATAAATTCCAACACTACTATTTACCTCTACTCTGGAGGATGAAGCAGGAAATGTATGTTGTAACAAGATCATAAATGAAGAAGGTGGAATTAGCCGCTCTCCCTCCCTAACAGCTTCATTTACAAGTATGGTCCGGGCCTCTGGATTTGACAAAATCCTAAATGCATAAACAAAATCAGATGGTTGTTACATAATGATAGATATACAGCAGAGGACGGAGACCACAAGAGAAACTTGACTCACATCTCAACAAATTGCAGGATGAGATCCATTGCCTGAGGGCTGTAGCACTTGTTATTACCGACTAGTGGGAGCAAGTTACGCGCCCATGAATACAAGCCAGCAGATAAATCACCTTGGGAGGCTTGTCACCATTTATAAAGTTGGAAAGTTTAGCAAAACACAAAATTCAACACTCTCCATAGTCCTAATTCATAAAATAAAATGAGATTAACCTGAGCCATCATCCAAATAATAACCGGAACCTTGTCCTCGCCTTGATACGTAGGTCTCTCCCTCAGCTTTGGCAAAACAGTAGTCAAAGCATCAGGTTTACTACGCAACACCATCGCTAATGCAACAAATGTTCCCACCTACAAGTACATTGGAGTCAGTCAAACAAAGGTAACTAAAAACACCATTCAATCACACACAAAATTGATGTATATTCCAAAATTACCTTAGATTTGTTAGAATTAAGTTGTTCAACTTTGACAACTCCAGGCCATTCAGTGAGAATGAGATCAGACGCCCACAGTACAAAGGCACGTAGTGTAGTCTCCAATGGAAGTTTGTTGATAAAATCAATTGATGTTTCGTAAACAAGTGTAGAAATTTGAGATAAAGGAACCTATTTTTATTAAGAAGAAGCAAGATATCAGCTTCAAGAATCTAGACTTGAGATGCACGAAAGCGTATAAGAAAATATTTCTAAAAAGCTCACGTCGATCAGTGTGGATAAAGGAGTCTCCTCGAACATCTTGACCCATTGGAATGAGACTTGGGAAAGTTTATCACCAAAGTAATCGACTAATATCAATATCTGCTTCTCCGGGATAGGCCAATGCTTGTCCTATTAACAAACAAACAATGATTATCGAATTGAACAAGCCGAACTTCACATCGCATGTACTTACCAATACTTCTCGGAGGTAAGCCGTAAGATCTGAGGGAACGATCTTCGCCGCTGCTTTGGACAGAGACACTATCGCCTTTTTGGTTTCCTCCGCCGCCGCACCAACACCGTTCGATTCATCTCCGACATCAGTTTCCTCCGCCACAACTTCGTGACAAGACACTGATAATACCTCCTTCGCCTCCATTAGGTTTTCTCGATTGCCTTTTCTTTTTCCCTCCCCTTTTGGCTTTTGTAACTTGAATCATAAACCAGAAAATTAATTAATTTTTTGAATTTCTCTAAAAGGCTGAGTTTATTAAAGATCCACATAACACAGCCCAATAAAGGCCCAATACATGTTCTTTTAAAAGGACACGTGGAGTCATCATGTTGCAAGAGAAGCATTGAAACGTTCTGTCAAGGACTCTGCTCCGGTGAACGTAATCGACGTCGGGATAAGAGCAAACATCGATTTTTGACTATCGACAGATGGGGAGGAGAAAAACAAAGGACAATCGAGAAAACCTAAGTGATCCGATCAAATCGAATCCGAAGGCGGAGGAGGTATTATCAGTGTCTTGTCCCGAAGCTGTGGCGGAGGAAACTGATGTGGGAGATGTTAGTACGGCGGCGGAGGAAACCGAAAAAGCGATAGCGTCTCTGGCCGAAGCGGCGGCGAAGATCGTTCCGTCAGATCTTGCGGCTTACCTCGCCAAAGAAGAGGTTTATGCTCGATACATTCGGTTTAATCGATAAACCACAAAATCAAATTTCAAAATTTTTTCCTTTTGTTTGTATCAGGATGTGCCGGAGCTGGGCTTATGGAGCTTTTACTTTTACCTAGAGAGCGCATTTCCTCAAATATCATCACAATGGTTGAACGTCTTCTATGAAGTTCCTTCTTCCGATGTGAGCAATTTTCTTTTACAGTCTTTGTGAGATTATTTTCAAATCTTACTTGAAAGAACAAGTCTATGAAGAAGCTTGCTTGATGATATCTTATCTTGCTTGCTAATAAACAACAGCATGTTCCTTTATCTCATATTCCTCAATCTGTCTACGAAACATCAGGCGTGTGGATCAAGCAACTTCAAACTACTAAACACCCTACTTTCATTATGTGGGCGCTTGATCGAGTTCTCACTGATTGGACAGCACATGCACAAGATACCTGTTTCAAATCTCAGGTAATATTGTGTGATTAAATGGTGTATTCAAGTTACCTTTGTTTGTCTTACTGTTTTTGTACTTGTAGGTGGCATCATTTGTTGCATTAGCGATTGTGGTGCGTAGTAAACCTGATGCTTTGACTTCTATTTTGCCGATGCTGAGGGAGAGACCTCGGTATCAAGGCGAGGACAAGCTTCCGGTTCTAGTTTGGACGATGGCTCAGGTTACTGTCAATGTTACTCTTTTTTCTGAACTAGGAGTACCACGAGTGTCTGAAGTTTGTGTTTTTGTTAATTATTTTCAACTTTATAAATGGTGGCAGGCCTTCAAAGATGATTTATCTGCTGGCTTGTATTCATGGGCGCATAACTTGTTACCACTAGTCGATAATAACAAGGGCTACAGCCCTCAGTCAGTGGATCTCATCCTGCGATATGTTGAGATGTGAGTCCAGTTTTTTACTTGTGATCCGCCTCCTCTGCTGTATGTAACAACCATCTGATCTTGTTTTTCTTTTAATTCAGCATTTTGTCGAAGCCAGATTCTCGGACCATACTTTTAAATGCTGCTTTTAGGGAGAAAAATCCGCTGATTCCACCTTCTGCATTTAGGATCTTGGTGCGGCTTACATTCCCTGCTTCATTCGCTAGAGTAGAGGTAAGGAGTAGTATTGGGATTTATATAAACAAAACAAAACCTTGATGCGACTGTCGATTCTGATCACAAGCATGGTGCACACAGGCAACAGAGAGGTTTGGGACTATTTACCCCTTGTTAAAGGAAGTAGCCTTTGCACCAGGAAGCAACACAGTGAAACAGATATTCACTTTTGCCTTGAAACTATCTGGAGAAGGTGTAGATACAGGAAATCCGTTTCTAGCCAAGGAAGCTACAGCAATTGCTATCAGCTGTGTGACCATAAACGTTGATTGCTTTAAGCAATGGGATATTCTTTACAAAAAAAATATAGGAGCTAGTGTTACTCTTCTTAAAAAGCTTGTAGACGGATGGATGGATCATTCCCTCAAACTACCGAGTAATACTCTCACTGTCAATGATACCATACATAACTTCAGGATAAAGGTAATGCCTTTCTTATAGCTCTTCTAAGCTATAACTAATTTCACTTGTATCTTCATATCTGACCTCACCTGCTATGTATGCCTGTAGAACCAAAAAGCCATCACTGAAGGAGTATCCGATTGTTTTCTTTACAAAGAAGCTGACAAGTCCTGCAAACTGAGCTTGAGGAGACTCTCCCGTGGAAGTGGTGGCCTCCAAATAGTTATTTGGTGGTGACTTGTTTCATCAACCAGTGACCATGAGCAAGGGGTTATGTTTCGAGTTCACTTACTGTGACAATGAGAACAAGACTATTGAATACAAGAAACACCATTGTATTAGTATTGGTTATTGTCTTGTGTATATCCAAACCTGTTTGGTTTCGATGTAATTTAACAAGGAACCATTGTTCTCCTCCATCGATGGTTTATTCATAAGCATTGCAACTCTGTGATAACTTTTCCTTTACTATGCAACTGAGAGTAGTAGCAGCAACCACCAAACCAATAAAGACTATGAATCTTATAGAAAAAGAAGCCACACTCTATTTAATTTCTTCAAAAGGAATAAGTAAAATTATATCAACATCCAGAGGTCGGAAAGAAAGTTTGGTTGTTGATGTTCAAATGGTCAATTCGATATAATTAATCAATTTACAGAATTTGCAAAGAAATTATGGTTCTTGATGGTCAAATCGTTATTATTTATTTTAAAACAAATAAAAGACCAGGCCGGTTTACTTTTCAAACGAAATCTACAAAATTGGTATGTGGTTGAGAGAAGAGAAGCCTTCCTAAATTGATTCGTCGTCTTCTTGCCAACTTGACTCTGCTACTTCAACTCTTTGCTCATTTCACCGCAAAAATGACAAAAGCTTTAATGTGTCATTGGTCCTCGACGACTATAAACATGCTTATAATTGAGTCGTCGCAACTCTCCTTTGAATTTTCTCTTCTATTCTTTTGTATTTTTCTGAGTACATTCCAGTTTCTAAGAAATGTTCTCATTTCTTTACGCGTCTTTTGCTTCAATACATAAACCAAAGGAACTCTTGCATTCCCAATCATACTTTCTACTAAAAATCATTCTAAAAATATCTTCAAGATTTGTGATCTCTTATGGCTTCTTCTTCTTCTTCTTCGTCTCGCGTCAAAAGATACCAAGTCTTTTTGAGCTTCCACGGTCCAGATGTCCGTAGAGGGTTTCTCAGTCATTTGCGAAATCATTTTGCAAGCAAAGGTATCACCACTTTCAGTGATCAGGGGATGGAGAGAGGCCACACGATCGGACCTGAGCTTGTACAAGCTATTAGAGAATCGAGGATCTGGATCGTGGTGTTCTCGAAGCAGTACGCTTCTTCCAGCTGGTGTTTAGGTGAACTGGTTGAAATTTTAAAGTGCAAAGAAGAAGATGAGGGGCAAATTGTGATTCCTATTTTTTACGAAGTTGATCCCTCCGATGTTCGGAAACAGAGCAGAGGCTTCGGGAGAGCTTTCAAGAGGACTTGTCAAGGTCAACCCGAGGAGAAGAAGCAGAGTTGGACCAAAGCTTTGACCGATGTCGCAAACATAGCTGGGGAGCACTCTATTAAATAGTATGTCTGAATGAATTAGTGCTTTTTTATCATCTTTCTCATTGCAATGCTTCAGTTTTTTTTTTTTTTTTTGTAATTTAGACCCTCTTTCTTATGCTTTTGTTAGGGATGATGAAGCAGAGATGATCAAAAAGTTTGGTAGAGATGTTTCAAACAAACTGAATCTTACTACACCTTCAAGGGATTTTGAGGGGATGGTGGGGATGGAAGCTCACTTGACAAAGCTGGACTCTTTGTTTTGCCTCGAGAGCGATGATGTGAAGATGATTGGAATTTGGGGTCCTGCTGGGATTGGTAAGACTACCATTGCTAGAGCTTTATACAACCAACTCTCTTGTAGTTTTCAGCTTAAATTTTTTATGGGGAACCTCAAGGGAAGTCTTAAGAGCATAGTGGGTGATAATGACTATGAATCCAAGAAGTCTCTGCAACAGCACCTTCTGTCTAAGCTTTTGAAGCAAGAGAATATGAAGACAGATAATTTAGGCGCAATAAAAGAATGGCTACAAGATCAAAAAGTGCTCATCGTTCTTGATGATGTTGATGATCGAAAGCAATTGGAGGTATTGGCTAAGGAACTTTCTTGGTTCGGTCAGGGAAGTCGGATCATCATTACCACAGAAGATAAGAAGATTTTGAAAGGACACAAGATTCAGGATATCTACCAAGTGGATATTCCATCCAAGGAAGAAGCTCTTGAGATCTTATGTCTCGCTGCTTTCGAACGAACCTCTGTACCAGATGGTTTCGAAGAGGTTGCCAATAAAGTAGCTGAGCTTTGCGGTTATCTTCCATTAGGCCTTTGTGTCGTGGGTTCATCTTTGCGTGGTGAGCACAAAGACGAGTGGGAACTTCAATTATCTAGAATCGAAACTAGTCTTGATAGAGAAATTGTGGACATATTAAAAGTGGGATATAACAGATTATCGAAGAAGGAAGATCAATCTCTATTTCTCCACATTGCATGCATCTTCAACAATCAATTGGAGGATAATGTAATATCTGTGCTTTCTAAGAGTGGCTTGGATGCTCGAAATGGTTTAAAGATCCTAGCCGATAGATCTCTCGTGCATATATCTACTTGTGGACGGATAGTGATGCACCATCTATTACAAAAATTGGGTGAACAGATAGTTCGTGAAGAGTCTGACGAGCCCGGGAAACGTCAATTTTTAATCGAGGCCAAAGAGATTTGTGATGTACTAACAGACGAGACAGTAAGTTTTAAGTTCTTACATATATTTTAATTTTCCTAGATATTGCCTATTTATTATTAGTGAAAACAATTATAATCAGTATTCTTTGGCAATATTATTTTGGTAGGGTACTGGAACTGTCAAAGGTATATCATTTGATACTTCCAATATGGGAGAGGTTTCTGTAAGTAAGGGAGCTTTTGAAGGAATGAGTAATCTTCGTTTCCTAATAATCTATAAAAGTTGGTTTGGTGGGGAAGGTACTTTGCAAATACCAGAAGATATGGAGTATTTACCTCCTCTTAGGTTACTATATTGGGAATATTACCCGAGAAAAAGTCTTCCTCTGAGATTTCGGCCGGAACATCTCGTCAAACTTCATATGCCATTTAGCAAGCTGGAGAAACTCTGGGGTGGAATCAAAGTTGGTATTTGATAAAGATATATTTCTAAATAAAATAAGACCAACATTATTGGGGGTATATATTACTCATTTTTTGTTGTCTTTTAACATGCAGCATCTTCATAATCTCAAGATCATAGATCTGAACCGATCCTTTAGCTTGAAAGAAATTCCAAATCTTTCAAATGCTACTAATCTCGAGAAATTGATACTTCAGTTCTGCCAAAGTTTGGTGGAGCTTCCCTCTTCTATTAAGAATCTACACAAACTGAAGGAACTAAATGTTCGACACTGCTCTAAGCTGCAAGTTATTCCCACCAACATCAACTTAGCATCTCTTGAGAGACTCGAGATGAGTGGTTGCTCACGGTTGAGAACTTTTCCAGATATCTCCAAGAACATCAAGATTCTCAATCTCGGAAGAACACAGATAGAAGATGTCCCTCCATCAGCCGTTGGATGTTTGTCTTATATTGATCACCTTAACGTTTCCAGCACAAGGGTCAAGATATTGACACATGTCCCATTCTGTATAACTTCGCTAATTCTTAGTAGCAGTGATATAGAGGAGATTCCACCTTGCGTCATAGGTCTCAAGAGTCTATCATGGCTTAACGTCGATAATTGCCGAAAACTCAAGTCAATTAAGGATCTTCCCACCTCCCTCTATTTCCTAGAAGCAAAGGATTGTGTATCACTGAAGAGAGTACGCTTCTCTTTCCATAACTCAACCAAGAAACTCGAATTCAACAATTGTTTGAAGCTAGATGAAGTATTAGGGATAACAATATCCCACATTGGAAGTTGAGTAGGATCTTAAGTGGTATATATAAGATATGGGCCTCTCCACTCATTGCCAATTGGTTTTAGGTTGGAAGCCCACAATCTAATATGGTATCAGAGCGTGGTCCGCACATACTCAACCCAATCCACAATCGGTCTGGCCCATAGTTGGCCCACCGATTCATGCCCGAACATACCGAGATTTATGGCAAAAGAGCCATCATCTCGAGGGGGCGTATTAGGATAACAATATCCCACCACAATCTAATATGAAGAATCTTCTAGTATGTATGTTTACCAGTAAACAAATCCCAGCAGAGTTCACTCATAAAGCTATAGGGAGATCCATAACCATCCCTCTGGATCCGGGTACTCTCTCTGCTTCCTCAAGCTTTAAGGCTTGCCTTCTCATTTTGCCAGTTGTGACTTCTAGTGATCTTATAAGTTGTAGTATAAGAAGCAAAGGAGGTGTTACAGTCAACAATTTGAAATGGTATACATTACTGTTTTTGGAGTCAAAACATCTGGTTATATGTCATGGTGACTTGTTTAACCAACGACGCAAATGCCATGAAGAGGATGTGACTATGAGCGAGATTACATTTGAGTTCAACCACAAGTACGAAGGTGACAAGATAAGTGCGGTGTACAGATCTTGACAGAGGAAGCAGAGGGTAGCAGCAGCAGGGAATTGGAAAGCTACGATACTGAGAGTAGCAGCAGCAGCAAAGTGGACAACAACAATCACAACACAGATGGAGATGGAGACTATGAAGAAGAAGGTTTCAATTTCTCCCAAGATGAAAACATCAAAACCAGATAACATACAGTTTTTTGGAGTTTGCTTAGGAAGCTTGGTCTGAAAAAGAAGAAGATGAATATGATGAAGCATAGTTCTCGCAGAATCTCATGATAATACCAAACCAGTTTATGTATATAAGAGAGCGAATATGGATGAAATTTGAAAGCATCATTGGTTGTTGGATTTAGGTTGGGAAACTTAATCTTTAAGGTCGTAGATTTGAGTCAGGGGAAGAAGATACTTGTTGGCTTGAGAATATATTTGTAATTTATTAATAAATAGTTATGCATTTGATCGATAAACGTAAAGCTAACGATCACTGATTCTGAGCATTAGCGCCATTACTGATTCTGGTCGCTTAAGTCTTCCCATTAACAATCATAAGTACTTGGCATACACTACAGACCAGTTTCCTTAATTTCTGTTGTTGATTTGGCTTGCTGTAGAAGATGTATTGCTCTGTTCTGTAGTCGTTTGTTATGAACCAACTTTTGCTTAAGGAATAAGAGAGATTCTAAAAGCTTAGCTCCCTCTTAACCCTAGTCTCTCTTAGAGATTACGGTTAATTCTTGGGGCTTGATTTCTCATTAGCATAAAGACCTATATCTATATAGGCCATGATACAACTTATAATTAACCTAAACGTTAAAACCAAAACACCTAACCCTAATGTATTAACTAAAGTAAATAATTAAACTAAAATATCATAACCCAAAACAACCAACTTCATCACTAACATCAACCATATAGTCACGTATCATCGTTGCAATACTTGGACCCTTAGAGATTCTGATCTCGAATGGAAAGAAGCTGCTTCATATTTGTTCATTAAAGAAGCTGTGACCAAGGTTTTTCTAGTTTATGCTGATATTCATTTCGATACATGGATTCTTAGTACAATCTTTTGTGTATTTAAAGACTATATTCATAGGTTGATGGGTTGATATATATTATGGATATGGTAACACATTAAAACTCTTAGAGTAGACAGTAGGAGATAACTAGGACTTACAAAATATATATGTGAAAAATTGTGTTGTGCCTTCAATAACCTGTACTGATTGGTGAACAAAAGACAAAGCTTATCCATCCGAATTTTTGTCATTACAAGGTTATGTATGATTGAATCCTTGCACAATTGTTTAGATAACACCGTTTGGTTTAGACAACAAAAGCAATGTAGAGTATTGGCTTCATTGCTTTGGAGCAGTGCCTTCTGTTGTGAGCATAAAAGGAAAACCCCATAAAAGAAGGTTGATAGCATTGGAGAAAACAGAAGCATTGCAGCTCACACTGTGCATTGAGTAGTAACCCCATGCTCTAAGAAAAGTCTTGTCATCTTGAATCTAAATTCGTAATAATGTTGCCATGGGCCTTAGTCTAGGCCCGATTGTTTTTTTCTAAGTCAGAAGTGAAACTAAATTTACAACTGGATTTGAATTTGTTATTTCTATTGCTTCCGCCGATGAAAGGACAACGAACTTGTATTTAAGGCCCATAAGTTTGGTAATAGTCAAGCCCAAAACCCCCAATTCCAAACTTTTAACATTTTTGTTTTTATTTTTTAATTGGGAGGAATAGCAAGAAAGAAAAATTTGACGCCGGTGATGCGAATCGATTGTGTACAGTTGAGAAGAGGAGAAAATGATGAGTGAGCTCGTCGTGTGAAGTCGAAGACGAAGAAGAAGAAGAAGAATGGTGGCTACTCCGTGGTATTTTGTTGCTGTACTTCTCACCATTCTCACCAGCTCTCAGGTTCCAATTCCTTTCTTCTTTGCTTCGTCTTCTTCTTCTTCTTCTGTCGCGCTAAATATGATCGAATCGAGATTTTGTTATCGAGATTGTTATCTTCGCTCCATGAATTCTTAGAATTATGTCGAGTTTATAGATCTTGAGTTCTCGGTGGTGTTACTGTCGCCAAATCTAATTCTGGATCATGTCGGTTAGAGTGTGATATTGCTCTTTTCCAAGGCGTCAAGCAGTGTTAGATTAGATACTCAATTTGCGTTTGCGAGTGCTCGATTGCTTCTCTGACGATTTAGGGACCATTTCATTCTATTTTGGCTAGGTTTCTTAGAATTCATTCTGTCTCACTTTATGCTTGTGATTTTGTAGATTGACTGTTCATTATTTGTAGCTGAAGAATTTTTGCTGAGTGTTGTGTTTCCACTGAAAGCTGTTATTATTAGTCTATAGAAGTCTTGATCATCATACTTTTATGTTCTGTGTTTAGGTTTGAGATTGAAATGTTGGCAATGATATTCACGGGATAGATTTCGAAAGTGATAGATAAGTTTTTGTTTCTATTTCTCTCACTGAGTAAAATTATGTTACAGGGGATTTTAACAACTCTTTCTCAAAGCGATGGAGGTTATAAGTATGATTACGCAACTGTACCCTTTCTTGCTGAACTTTTTAAGGTATCTTGTTCTTCTCTAAAAAGCTTGATGCTGGTACTGGTTTTTTTGCATTTCTTATTTAGCTGCTGAGTTTGTTTACTTCTCTTCTACAGCTGATCATTTCTGGTTTATTTCTCTGGAGAGAGATGCGGACATCTTCTTCAACTACTGCTAGGATTACTACGGATTGGAAGAGTGTGCGCTTATTTGTTATTCCGTCTCTTATATACCTGATACATAACAATGTGCAGTTTGCTACATTGACTTATGTGGACACATCCACTTATCAGATTATGGGTAATTTGAAGATTGTGACCACTGGCATACTGTTTAGGTATCTGTTTTGTGTGCCTTCTCTTTCTCTATACTATCCTTTTGTGCCAAGCTCTCTCTTTGGGTTAACTAACTAATTTGTAATCTGTCGTTGTTATAGGTTATTTTTGAAAAGGAGACTATCTAAACTTCAGTGGATGGCGATTGGTCTTTTAGCTGTTGGAACAACTACCAGCCAGGTGAGATGATGCATAAACATTTTGAATTGTGTATTATGTTCTCCTTTTTGTCATACTGCTTAGAACCTTATGTTGTTCTACTTAGCATTCAGCACACTGCTTTTGTTCTGGCAATCCAAAAGCTAAGCTGGCATCAAAATTTCAAGCATTCAATTTGTCTTCTTGTCTCAGGTTAAGGGATGTGGAGAAGCTTCATGTGATTCTTTATTCACGGCACCTATACAAGGTTATTTGCTGGGCATCCTCTCAGCTGGTTTGTCTGCGCTAGCCGGAATCTACACAGAGTTTCTGATGAAGAGAAACAACGACACCTTATACTGGCAAAACTTGCAGTTATATACGTAGGCATCTCTTCTTCAGATCAAACTTTCTCATGCCAAGAATGTTATTGTCACACTACTTATTCAACTTAGCAGCCTTTTCATTAACCAATGATATCCATGGTTTAATCATCGTACCTTTTGTTTCTTTACTCGTCACCAGGTTTGGCTCTCTTTTCAACGTTGCCCGGCTTATAGCAGATGATTTCCGACACGGGTTTGAAAAGGGTCCTTGGTGGCAACGTATCTTTGATGGGTGTAGCATCACCACTTGGATGGTAGTTCTGAATCTCGGATCCACCGGCTTACTGGTCTCGTGGTTAATGAAGTATGCAGACAATATTGTGAAGGTAAGAAGAACATTTTTGTTCTTCATCATCAAACTTAAGTAAGTAAAAGAAAAATCTGTTCTTAAACATACATTTACATTTGTCTTTCTAGGTTTATTCTACATCAATCACAATGCTACTTACTATGGTTGCATCCATATACCTCTTCAGCTTCAAACCATCACTGCAGGTTTGTCTATGATTTATCTAAGGACTGGATCTTCTTTCCTGTATTTGCCTCATTATATTCTTTACCTGTAACTATCCTGCAGCTTTTCTTGGGTATTATCATGTGCATCATATCGATTGTCGAAAAAGAAGATTCCATTGTTCGATTCCTACAATCCATCGCCTGTTGGGAAATCTGGGATTGCCTCGTGTCGAGCGAGGTTAGCTTTACTCTTTAGTTCTGATTCTTCAAACCTATTTTCAACTATGCCAAACTATTTCCTAACTGCTTCGTCTCATAATTGCTACTTTCTCCAGATCACCGGGAAAGATAAAGACAAACATGGTGATCCCTCTCAAGCTTGTAACAGCGGTTCTCTTCTTACAAGTATACAATTCCAATTCATTTTCCGTCTCGTCCTTGTGTAGTATCTTGGGCAACTCTCTCGGGCTTTTTTTTTTTGCTTGGGTTTTCCATTTAGGAGTTCTGCCAATTTCATTTCACTTGATGATCATGCTATTTCTCTTGACGTATATATAGTGAAACTTGTTCGCTTTATTGCTAAAAATAGGTATGATTGTGATGTTGCAGGTGATATTTTCCTCAGTTCTAGTCAGTGGTCTAAGGTATATGCAATAGACATGCGGTCTAAGTGCTCAATCTCGTATTATACTGTCTCTTGTTTTCTCTGTTGGTCCCCTAAATCTGTAAATTGTTCTGGTCAGTAAAAGACATTCAAGAGAGTATTTCGCAATGTATGACATATGTGGAGAGCACAGCGTGGAGAAGTCCTTAACTGTCCTTATGGTTCGCCATCAATAAAGGTATTAGCTTAAGAACCTGGCTTATCAGAAGACTAAAACCATTAGGTTTACTTCAAGTTATTCTTTTTGTTGCTTCTGCTTGCTTGACTGAATGTAATTGGTTTCTGCAGGCTGATGAACTATTTTCTGCCAATTTCCAAAGCCTGTGTCCAATCATAAGTGGGAACGTCTGTTGTACAGAAACTCAATTCGACACTTTGAGGTCTCAAGACAGGTGAGATATCATATATATATATATATATATTTTTTTGTTATGACACCTAAAAGAGAACAAAATGAATCATTACACAAAAGGAAAGCTATTTTCTTATCATGTTCAGTATTTTTTTAAGACCAAGAAGAAGGTGTTCTTGAACACAAAAAGGACTGTATCAGACGTGCCAGAGGTAACTTTAGAACTACGCTTGTTTATACGAATGTGGATGATTCCTCGTGACATGTTTTAACTGTTTTTTCTCTATATTTCTTCTACTCAGCGATTTTCGATAGAGCCAACACATATTACAAAGACTCTGCACCAGAGCTGAAGGAAGAACGAGCTACACTCTTGGAGGATTGGCTGAACGTGGAGACGAGCTTTGGTAACCTCGGGGATGTCAGTATTGTCCGATCGAAGCTTCTAAAGAAGCTCAAGAAGAGAAAGCAGATCACGAGAGAAACGGTTCAACAGAGTACGCATTGCTTATACATAATTTCTTGATTTGTTATGTTCAAATGTGATTAGAGTCGAATGCTAAAAGCTTAACGTGCAAAAATGGTTTGAACAGGTACGAAGAATACATCGATTATATGTACCCAGAAGAATCGCAGACGACGAATCTCAAGATTCTCGAAGCTGCATACAAATGGAAGAAACAGAAGGTTGCTGCTTCTGAGGAGGATTAATATTCCTAAGCTTCTTCTTTTAAAATTATTTTAAGTCAAAATCAAAACTATTGAGTTGCTTTGTATTCTTACTTAGTTCTCTGTACATCGTCACTCATCCTGTTTGATTTGGCAGTAATTTTTGTCATCCAAGCAACAGTCAAAAACTCAAATCTGGTTTCTTTGCATTTTGATTATTTTTATATCATTTATTTATTATGAAAATGAAATATTAAATTTAGAAATATCTCCATATTTTATAATATATCTTTTATGTCCATAATCTTATTATTTTCTTTTTTACATTAAAAACTTAATAAATAAATTATCGTAATTTAAAAAATGTTAAATATTGAGATGTCTAATTATGATTGGTCGTTTAAAATCAGATGTGCACGCTCTCAAAAGCTTATAGACTCAACTTTTACATAGTACTAGTTTAGTACCCGTCCGATGGACGGCTTATCTTTATTTAAAATTAAATGGAAATTAAAATTTATTATAATTTATAAGAAAATAATTTCCAAATCTTTTTTTTGAAAAAATAAGAGAAATTATTTTTATTTGGAAAGAGATTTTATTTGGTTTGAAGTATCAAATATAAGTGCATATGTATATATCTTAAAATTCGTTATTAAACGTTAACTATAAAAATCTAGTAATGTCAAACTGACAATCACCAAAACATTTGGGAAGTATTCACCATTATTCATAATATTGATAAAATATTTAAAAAATCTTAATTTAACAATTATCCTCTAAAACATTATTATACCATTTTGTAAAAATTGTTATTTCTTAACTTTCAATTTTTCAAAATATCATTCTCAAACTATGAAAATTAATTGATTATTATTTAATATGATGGTAAAGTTCTTTCAAATTAACATCAATCTAAAATATGATGTTAAATACAAATATAGTCATTTGTAAATAAGTTCATATAAACAACGCAAATAAACATAAAGATTCAAAAATAAATTATAGCATCGTTGAAGAAAACATTAAAAAATCTTTCAAATACAAATGATAAAAAATTACATATTATTTTTTTAAAAAATTTAAAATTACTATATTACGAATTATATTGAATTTTTGTTATATTTAATTTAAGCTTAAAATATTATTTTCGAAAATATTTTATTCACCCTTATGTTTTAGACAATGAAATTGCTCAATGGCATAATACATTCATACATAAATTAAAAATTAAACAAATATAACATACTATAAAATAAAAATCATGAATAAAAATATTTATTTAGTTAAGCTCAAAATCTCTTTTATTTGTAAAATGTAAATCCTAATTCTCCTTTATGAACCCAAACTAATAAATAATCTTGTTTAATTGTAAAACCTAAATCTCAATCCTCTTTTATAAACCCAAACCGATAAATAATCTCGTTTAATTATAATCTAAACTATAATGCGCATTCATAAACTCAAACCAACATATAACCCTTATAATTGTAAAACCTACAGCTGGCAAAACCAAAAATTAGATTAATAGTTGAAAGAGATTTTTTAAGAAATGCCTCTTTTGATTTACCCCTTTTTAAACACTCCAATTTTCTGGCCATTTTTAAAAATACCCCTCTTCAAATATGAAAAATTGTAAATTTTTATATAGTTTATAAAGGTAAATCTATATCATCATTACTACTGGGAGACTCAATACAATTATTTATAAAGTTTTAAAAGATTGTAAACGGCATTTATAAGACATTTATAAGGTTTTTATAAGGTTTACAAAGTTTTTATCTGGTTTTTAAATAATTTTAAAAGGTTTTTAAAAGTTATTTATACGGTATTTATGAAATACAGATATAAATTTACACACATATCAAGATAATTTGTGTCTATATATATAAGCTTACACATATTTTTTTGATAAATATCAATTTTTTTTTAGTTTTTAATTTATCAAAATTACCGTTTTCCAGTACCACTTTTTAAAAATACCACTATTTCAAACTTTATCAAAAACCCACTAAAAATGTTGAAATTTATCCAAATATGTGTGTAAACTTATAAATATACGCACAAATTACCTTTATATGTGTAAATTTTTATATATCTTTCATAAATTGCGTAAAATAACTTATAAATACCTTTTAAAGAACTTGTAAACCGTTTTAAAAACCTTATAAAACGATTTAAAACCTTTTAAAACATTAGAAAATATTTGTATCAAATTTAAATAATTCTTTATAATATTTATTTTATATATTTCCTTTTAATATTTATATGAAAACATTATATAATTATGAGAATTTTTGAGAAATACCCCTTTTGGTATACTCCTTTTTAAAAATACCCTCTTTATCTATCCATTTTCAAAAATACCCCTTTTTAAATATAAAAAACTATAAAGTTTTATATAGTTTATAAGGTACTTCTATATAATAACTACTACTGGGAGATTCGATACAAATATTTTAAAATGTTTTAAATAGTTTTAAATCGTTTTTATAAGTTTTATAAGGTTTTTAAAAGGTTCTTAAAAGGGTTTATACGATTTTTATAAGGTTTTTATAATTTATTTTTACGCTATTTATGAAAGGTATATAAAGTTTTATACACATATAAAGGTAATTTGCGTATATAATTATAAGCTTACACATATATTTGGATAAATTTCAACAATTTTAATGGGTTTTTTTTGATAAAGTTTAAAAATGGGGTATTTTTAAAAAGAGGTATATGAAAAGGGGTATTTTTGAAATTCTCCCTATAATTATTTATAATATTTATTTTATATATTTCTTTTTTCGATAAGGTTAATAATATTTCTATTTTATCTAAATATTAACAAAACTAAAATTGATACGTGTCAACATCTTATCGTTTATAATTGACACATGTCACGATTTTGTTAATAGCTGATTTTGAAAACCAAGGTTTATATAATAAGATATATTAGTTAAAAATGATTTTTGTTTAATCAAACACAACTACAAATATATAAATTAATGGTTATGAATCTACAAATATATGAATTAAATTATTTTTTATTTGATTAATGGTAATGAGTAGTGGAGTGGATTAGAATTACTAGTTGACACATTTAACCATTTAGAAATATTGTTTTAATGAAATAAGTTTTAATTAAAGTTTAACCGGTCGGTTAATTATATGGTTAATCAACGGCTTTAAACAATTACGGTTGATAACGGTTACGGTTAACTTTTTTTATATAACCGTGACTAATTTATTTTTACGGTTAACAATTATGATTTTTAACCGTTTTATACAGTTACGGTTAAAAAAACGGTCTGGTTACGGTTATAAATACGGTTATGGTTAGATTTTGGTTATGTCTAGTTCAACCTTTTTGGTCGCTGCTTTTCTAATTCACTTTTGAGTCGTCGACTGATAAACTTTCGTTAATTCTTGTCCCTTGGTAAAGTAAAACGTGTGTTCTTGTGTTTTTCTCTCTAAACAAGAACCAAAACAGAGAGTGACCAAAAGAGAGATAAAGAGTGAGCGAACTAACCTTGAGAGGTTAGGATGTGAGAATAAAACAGGTACTGATTCTTCGTCGAGATGTAGTTCGGATTTGGATTACTATTATTCAAAGGAGATAGAGACCAGTAATATTAGTGAAACATTGAGCTCGGATTACCCTGTGATGCTAAGAAAGCTTCAAGAGACAGACCTAAGAAATGAAGATTTGGAGAGACAAGTGAGGATACTGAAAGAAGAAACTGTTTTTTACGCGATCAGAACATGGAAGTGGCTAGAGATATTGAAGGTAAGAGAAACGAGGACAGGGAACATTTCAGATTCTTGATGACTAAATTGAAGCTGCATTGTTGCTTAACCAGAAAAAGGAGTTGGAAGTGGAGCTGAAGAATAAAACCAATCAAGTTTCACAGACGAAAATGCGATTGAAGTGTTTGGAGGAAGAAGCAGAGAAACAAGCTAAGGCTGAGCTGAATATCGTTGGAGAAAAGGAAGCTTTGTGGAACAAAGTACAAAAACTTGAAGCGGGCGTTGAGACTTTGCGGAAGAAGAGAAAGGAGTATAGTGAAGAGATGAAGCGTAAGATCACTGAGATTGATCGTCTTAAGGAAGAGAATCAGAAGCTGCATACAAGAATCGGAGAGATCGATGAAATTGGAGACAAGAGTAAGAAACTTGACAACCAAGTTACTGATCAGCCTAAACTAGAGAAGGAACAAGAAGACATCATTCAACGGTAAGAGAGGGAAACAAGATTTTGTAAAAAGCTTTTAAAATTGAAGTTTGTTGTTGTTACCGTTGCTTTTAAAATTCACTGCATGCAGGCTATCAATGGAGACTAATGATCAGAAGAAACTTCTTAAAGAACAAAAAGATGCCATTGATAAGCTCTCAGAGGATCAGAAGCAAATGAGACGTTGGTCGTTTGGTGGTTCGAAATTGAATACAAATCTTCTCGAGAGGAAGATGGAAGAGTTGGCTGAAGATTTCCGAATGAAAATGGAAGATCATATCCGTATACTGTACAGGAGGATCCATGTAGCCGAACAGATACACCTAGAGAGCAAGAACAGCTATATCAAGACGCGAGACAACACACAAGTCCAAGAAAATAGAGGAAACAGAGAAGATTTCAATGTCTCTGAAACCCAATTCAAGAAAATCAAAGAAATGGTGGAGAAAGGGCTTGCAGGACCAGAGATGGCGATAAAATAAGCTAGAAGAAAGCGGGGGATTAGTGAGCCGAGTCACGAGGTTAGCTAAAGAGATCGATTCAGCGAAAAAGTGGGTGAAGGAGAAGGACAACAAGACAAAGCATGAGGTTGAAACTCTAGAAGCGAAGTTAGAATGCAGAAAAGCACAAGAATGTTTACTAAAGGAGAAGTTATCGAAACTAGAGGCGAAGCTAGCGGAGGAAGGAACAGGGAAAGCTGAGTTTAGCAAAGGCTATGAGGAAAATAAAAAAGCTTGAGATAGATTTGAGAAAAATGAAAGAAATACAATTGAAAAAAAAAAAAATTTACTCCTAAGAAAAAAGATATAAATTTATAATGTGAAGACAGTTTAGTCTAAATCAATCTATTATTAATTGGGTTCTCTAATTATAATATGACAAAAATAGAAGCATATTTATTTCTAAGAAAAAAAAGGCGGGAAATGCATGCACTTGGTGATGATGAAGCCCGTTAATCATGTGTTAAGATTAATTACGGCGTTAGACATGCCCTAAACCAAAAAAAACAAATCTAATCCTTGATTTTACATTATCGGTGGCAAAACCGTAAATATATCTCATATGATAAACTACAGTCAAATGATATTTTGACCGGTTTGACGAGAATTTGAAGAGCAAAGAAATAGCGCTAGTGGCAAAAGCGTAATAATCTGGGTAAAGAGAGGGGTGTTTGTGGAAGACGAGTTTCCAAAAAGATTCCCCCAGTCATCATCGTCTCCTTCAAAATTGAAAAAAAACACACACACACCCACACGCGCGAAAAAAGTTGCTTTCATAACTGTACTCTCTCAAATAAGTCCAAACCAAAATCAAATCGCCTTTTTTTTTTTCTTCTTCTTCAATCTCTCTCCCTCGCTTCGATTTCAATTTCGTAATCTCTTTATCATCTCTCTAAACCCACTCACGCACGTCGGAGAGAAGAGAGTTTCTCTTAGTCTCTGCTGATTTTTTGTTCTCTTAATCCAGGTAAAATTTCTAGGTTTCGAACGACTTCGTATATGGTTGTTTTGGTATCTTCGATTTCTCCGCGTGAGTTTGATTTTTGGTTTAGAAGTAGTCTCAGGTTGCTTTGATTCTTCGATCAGGTTTAGTTTAGGTTTGGGTTAGTTACATAGTGTTAGATATAGATCAATGGATCATGAAAAAAGACAAGAAACGTCTGATGTTTTAATATATGTAGAAGATGCTTTCTACTGGGAAGATTACGAGTTTTTGTTTGTTTGTCTTGTTGAGTAGTTTTTGATCATTTGCATCTGATTGTTTTACAGTTAAATCAATTGGATTCTTGTTGATTTCGTTCATTAAAGTAGGTGATAGGGTTTTATATAAGGTGAATCAGGGTTTTGTTGTAGCAGTTCTTACTATTGAGACTGGTTTTGTGATGCTCAGTTTTTTTTTTTTTTTGTTTTTGTAATTCTTGTCATTTAAGCTTCTGGAACCCTCTCAGAACTTATGAATTACATACAGTTCTCGGTTTTCACACATGAACCCTTCTCTTTTCTTTTATACAGGGAGAAAAAAAACCAATAGATCGATTCTGGATATTCAGTGGAGCTAAAAGGGAAGTTTGAGATTAAAAGGGTAAGTTAAACTAAGTAACTCTCCTCATGTACTTACAGTTTTACTAGTCACTTTCTTTATATGTTTAAGCCAACAATTACCAATCAGATTCCATAATATTAGACCACAAAGCACTAATAGTGATTTAGCTTTCTAATCACAAGTTCTATGTTCTTTCTTGATTTTTTTGTATCCTCTGTAAATTGTAAGTTACTCAATGATGCAAAGGCTTTGAATCTATGTTTCTTTGCGGGCCACACGAGTTCTGTTATTTATCTGCATACCTTGTCAGGGTTCAATTGCTGGATCTACTTCTATTATTATATTCTCTCTTTAGTGTTGAATATCCAGATTGCTTAACATATGATCTGGATTCTGTATAAAGCCAAATGATTGTTAGTTTTGCTATTTTGTTATTATATAGCAACATAAATGTGAAAAGGATGGTACTTCTTTTCTAATTGAATAATGGCATTTAATTTGAACAAGTTAGATTTGCTAGTCTTAACGTTTCTTCTGATAAGTTTCTCTATGAATTGTGTGAACTGTGAAGACAGGTCCTGTTTGGTCACAGTTAAAGATTGAGTTTCTTTGATTGATTATATTTTGTTGAAGAAACTGGTGGAAAAAAAAGAGATGAAAAAGCATAGGCTTAGAGAAGCCTTGCAGTCTTTCTTTGAGCCTCATTTTGATCATGAGAAAGGTGAAATGCTTAAACGAACTAAAACTGGTAATTTTCCTACACTACTTAAGTTTTGTCTCACGTGTTAAATGCAATTCCATAGATTTTGGTTAAAAAATGCTTACATGAAAAGTATTCTTATTACCTGATGCAGAAATAGATGAAAAGGTGACGAAAATCTTGGGAATAGTTGAGAGTGGAGACATCGTTGAGGATGAATCTAAAAGACAAGTGGTTGCGGAGTTAGTGAATGAATTCTACAACGAATACCAGTCTCTGTATCGCCAGTACGATGATCTAACTGGAGAGATTAGGAATAAGGTCAATGGGAAAGGAGAGACCTCCTCCTCCTCAAGCTCAGACTCGGATTCTGACCATTCTTCTAAGAGGAAGACCAAGAGAAATGGAAAAGGAAAAGTAGAGTCGGTAACAGGTGCCTTGAAGCAACAAATCGAGACTGTAAATCTTGAAATTGCTGATCCGAAAGGGAAGTTGACGACGACTATTGAAGAAAAAGAAGCAGCAGATTCTGAGCTTGAAGTAGCTTTGATGAAGTTAAAAGAATCAGAAGAGATTATCAATAAGTTGAAACTTGAAACTGAGAAGTTAGAGGACGCAAAGACAACAGCTCTGAGTTATAACAGGGAACTTCATCAGAAACTGGACGATGCTGGCAAAACAGAAAATGATCTGAAGCAGAAGTTAGAAGATGTTAAAAGAGAGAGAGATGAACTGAAAACTGAGAGAGACAATGGTAATAAAAGATTTCAAGAAGCTGAAAAAGTTGCAGAAGATCGGGAAGCAACGAGTGATCAGCTCAAAGATGAAGCTTCTAATTTCGAGCAGCAGCTAGAAGCATCAGAGCAGCGAGTTTCGGAGCTGACCAGTGGTATGAATAGTGCAGAGGAAGTGAATAAATCCTCAGAACAGCGGGTCTCAGATTTGAGTGTTAGTCTGAAGGATGCAGAGGAAGAAAACAAAGCTATCTCCTCAAAAAATTTGGAAACTATGGAAAAGCTTGAACAAGCGCAGAACACGATAAAAGAACTCAGGGAGGAACTGGGAGCATTGAAAGGCCAACACAAAGAGAAAGAGTGTGAGCTTTCTAGTGTGGTGGGGGTACATGAGGCATATCAGAGAGATTCAACGAGTCGAGTGGAAGAATTAGTTGCAGTAGTGCAATCAGCAGATAAAAAGGTTGCAGATATGAAGCAGAGTCTGGACAATACAGAGAAAGAGAAAAAACTGTTATCTCAGAGAATCCCAGAAATCTCTAATGAGATTCAAGAGGCAAAAAAAAGCACACAAGAACTCATGTCTGAGTCTGAACAGTTGAAAGAGAGCCACGGTGTGAAAGAGAGGGAACTTTCTTGCTTGAGGGGCATTCACGAGACTCATCAAAGAGAATCATCCACTCGTTTGAGTGAATTAGAAACTCAACTGAAATCATCAGAACAACGGGCTGTAGATCTGAGTACGAGTCTGCATGCTGCAGAGAAAGAAAACAAGTCCATATCCTCGAAGATCTTGGAAACTACGGATGAGCTCAAACAGGCCCAAAGCAAGGTACAGGAACTTTTGACTGAATTGGCAGAGTCTAAAGATACACACATACAAAAAGAGAGTGAGCTTTCTAGTTTGGTGGAGGTACATGAGGCCCATAAGAGAGATTCCTCAAGTCAGGTTAAAGAATTAGAAGCACGGGTGGAATCAGCAGAGAAACTGGTTGAAGAATTGAACCAGAGGCTGAACAGTTCAGAGGAAGAGAAGAAATTGTTATCTCAGCGAATTTCAGAAATGTCTACTGAGATCAAGCGGGCGGAGAGCACCATTCAAGAACTCATGTCCGAGTCCGAACAATTAAAAAGGAGCTACACTGAGAAAGACAATGAACTTTTCAGCTTGAGGAATATCCATGAGAATCATCAGAGAGAATCGTCAACTCAGTTGAGAGATTTAGAAGCGCAACTTAAATCATCTGAACAGGGGGTTTCGGAATTGAGTGAAAGTCTGAAGGCTGCAGAAGAAGAAAGCAAAACTATGTCAATGAAAATCTCAAAAACCTCAGATGAGCTTGAACAGGCACAGATCATGGTAAAGGAACTCACAGCTGATTCGAGCAAACTGAAAGAACAGCTCGCTGAGAAAGAAGGCGAACTTTTACTTCTGCCAGAGAAGGACAGAAAATCACAGGTGCAAATAAAAGAACTAGAAGCAACAGCAGTGACTCTGGAGCGGGAACTAGAGTCAGCTCGTTCCCGTATTATAGATCTTGAGAAAGATATTGGAAGCAAGACCACCGCAGTTGAGCAATTGGAAGCACTAAACAGAGAAATGGTTGCTAACCGCGATCCTCTCCACAGCTCAGAGAATTCGCTATTGGGAATAAAGACGCAGCAGGCGAGTGTTAACGTATTGGATACGGATTTGAGTATCCCGGAACTGGTTATGGGAGTTATGGAAACTGACCCGGCTATGGAAATTGGCGGTTTTAAAGTATACAAGGGGACTCGTGATAACCGCGATGTAGCTATTAAGAAGATACCCCTGTCAAAGCTTGCGTTTAAGATTGCCAAAAATGAAAGGACGATCCACCATGCCTGTGAAAACGAATCGAGAAACATCGTCAGGTTATATGGTGTTGACGTGTTAGAAGGTTTCATCTATATTTGCTTTCAGCCCTGGGAGTGCACTCTAGGAGACTTAGTCAAATTCTGTTCAAGAGGAGAAAGCGAATCTCTGTATAAGAACCAGGAAGTCTTCCTGAAGAAGTTTAAGCATAAGAATGTGTTGTGGGATAGTAGACGTCCTTCGAGTTTGCTTTGTAAACTTATCAGAGAAGCAGTAATTGGTGTTTCAGATTTACATGGATACGGTATAGTGCACAGAAACATCAATGAGAGTAGCTTTTTTATAATCTCCAAGGGAGAAAATGTTACATTAAAGCTAGGAGATTTGAGCATGGGAAAGCTTGACCAGGACAGTGAAGCTTTGGAGAAACAGATTCGGTATGCACCAGAGCAAACACAAAAGAAGAATAAAGTTGAAGGCTTGACAAACGATATCTTCTTCCTTGGATGTGTAGTTGGTTATTCCATCTCTGGTGGCCAACACATATTCAAGGATGAATTTGATGGCTCGACCAACCTTGATCCCATGTACAACGAACCTGCAATGAATATAGTTAGAAAATCATCTGAAGGATACTATTTGGTGAAGAATCTGATTAAAAGACCTCATACAGAGCGGTAATTATGTATTTCTTTATTTATTTAATGTACTTATTTAAATAAGTTTAACAAACTAACTAATTTCTTTGTTTTATTCGCAGTCTTACTGCGGAAAGTATGCTGACGCAACCATTTTTCTGGTCTAATACAAAGAAGGTGGCTTTCTATGAGAGGGCAAGTGAGCGCTTTATGGGAACTGTAAACAACGCTTTCTGGAAGTCAGTTTACAAGAGTAAAGCAATCGTTATGGGAGTCGACGATTGGCATATTAGACTGCATCAAAACTTGAGAACCGCGGCGAACAAGGTAAACTCCAAGCGGAAAGATTACCAGACTCATCATTTCACTGATTTGGTAAGATTTGTGAGGAATACTCTTGCGCATGTCGGTACCAACCATCCAGATGTTGAGGTTTGTGTTCTTACACTATTTACTAACTATTTTGTAATTCATAACATTTAAGATTCCAAATAGTATTAACTAATTTGTATTTTGTTTGTTGATGTTTTAGACAGTAGTCGGAGATACTATAGATTCAGTACTTGAGTATTTCGCAAATATGTATCCGGATCTACTGGTGGAAGTGCACAAGATCGTCTTCAACAACTTCAGGAAGGAAAAGAATTTCGTATTCTACTTCACTGACAAAGGTTAGTGCTTAATTAATTATTGTAATCTTTTTTGGTCTGTGATGTGATGTGATGTTCTTAGGGAGACAAATGTAACACTGCATGTCATTTTTATCTGTTGTCAGGCACCGCATGACTAAGGCTTTCTGCATGGAATTTGGGATACTTTCTTTAATTCTCCGAGATCTGTATTTTGGCCTATGCTTCTCCATTATTGGATTAGAACTACTTTTTTTTTTTTCTCTTCATCAAGCAGATGTTGGTTTATTCGATGAAACTCCATTGATTTCAGTTCAAGTTATTTGGATCTTTTAACTTGCTTTGATCAATTTAGGCGATTTGATATTTTACCCTAAGCCGAATTGGGTTAATGAACAATGCAAGTCCCTAGTACACAAAAGAGGATGTTTGTGATGTTGCAGGTTGATAGTTTTCTCGCTGAATCTACTCATCACCAACTCTGCAACAAGGTAAAGTCATTAGAGATGTTGGCCTTATTTCTCAGTCTCTTATTAACAACATGTGCTTATGGTTGACAACACTAGACTGAAACCAAACAACTGGAGCTTCAGTCTTCAGGTGATGAATCCTGCAATCACTCGCTACATTTTTTACTTTTCTTGGTTTGGTGGTCCATCATATGGCTTTTTTTGTCTTCTGCTACGCTTCTTATATAATAAGCTTTTTTCTTAATGCAGATCGAAGTCTTTCCATATTCTGTCTTCTACATTTTCTTTGAGCAATATCTGGAAAATAGCTTTGACCAACCTCAGCCATAGCAATCGGTTTGCTTTTCATCATCTATCAAGTTTTGAGAATTTGCTAGATCTTGTACGAAAAGACAACTCTCTCAAAATTCTCACTTTGTTCTGGCAGGTGCTATATTTCTTGTTTGCTTATAAATCACTTCCAGGTCAGTTCTCTCTCAATATATATATATACCTTATGTGAGAGTTTAGGATGCGGAGATGTCTTGATGTTGGTTTCTGTTTTCAATAATCCAGTGCCTGAAGTTCAGCCATCATTGTCCTTGTATTGGTGATGATACTCTCAGATCTCATGGTACATTCTTTGGGTTTTGTTTCATGCGGTTCTGGATACTAATAGTCTCTGTTGTGAATTTGTTAATGTCAATTGGGATTACTGTAGAATTCTGTGTGCGCATATGACATGCTTTCCTGGTAAAAAGAAGCCATTTCTCTTTGTAACCTTACCCCAAACACTAAACCGTTCTGGAATCTATAGCCATGTAGTATCAGAAACAATTGGCAATTATGGTTGGGAGGAATTAAGGATGCAGAACAAGCCAATGTCGCTTTTCAACCTTCTGAGGATCTAGTCTTGAAAATAACCTGCAACTGCTTCAAATGCAGAGGAGTAGTGGGAACTGGGAACAGAGAACAAAGGGGCAAGAGAGGCACTTGGAACCATGGGAGCTTCAGTCTTCAGGTAATGGATCTTGCAATCCGGTGCTGCTCTTTAACTTTTTTTTTTGGTTTTGGTGGTCATATTTGTGGTACTTAATGAGTGAGAAACATGTTGTGGTGGACAGTGGGACCACACTCACGAAACTTGTTGGAGTGATTGTGCTTTGCTTCGCAAGATCTGAGATGAGATATTTGTGGTAATGAATCCTGCAATCACTCGCTACATTTTTTACTTTTCTTGGTTTGGTGGTCAAATTTTGTGGTACTTAATGAACGAAAGCATGTTGTTTGGACAGTGGGATCATACTGACAAAACTTGTCGGAGTGATCGTGCTTTGCTGCGCAAGATCGGAGATGAGATATATGTGGTTAGAAAACACACCCAAATGCATTGCCTTGTGCAAGTTCTTGGTCCCTTGCTTGATTTTGATACAAATGGATATGTATTGGTCCAGACATGTGTATTACTTCCAAATGTACTTGGCTTTGGTTATAATTGGCATCTTGCATGGGCTAGTTTCCTTACCTGCAAGTTAACCTGGACTAATCTGGTGATCAGGCTTGAACACCCAAGACGATATCTTCTCGGGTGGATTCCAGCGACACTTGGACATCGAGACAACCTTCTTCTTCTTCCTCCCTACTGAGTCTCGTCTCCATTGGAGTCCTTACCATCAACCTTTGGGACATTACTCTCGTATTGCTCAAATATTCCGACTCTTACACAAATGTGTCAAAATTAACCAGGCCAATGGCCCAAAGTTATGAGTATATCACCCGCTAAATCCTATCATTTACTATCTATTCTAAGAATAGAATCTTAGATTATTATAATATAATAGAGATAATTGTTTCTCGCAATATCGTAAAAAGCTTCAAAACAAGGATTACAACAAGTAAACTAATACATTAAGTCGTTGCATCGTAAAATTAAATATATACTAACAATCCACAGAGAGTACATACATATTAAGATACGTTTATGATGATAGTGAAACTAGAGAAGAGAAGAGGGTTTTGGCAAAATAATATTTAAAGGGTCAAGTACAACCAATTCTTGATCATCGTCCAGGTACTTGAGGCTGACTTTGCTTCTGAGAAGATAAGAGCTAGTGCGGCTCCTGCAATGCCTCCTGCAGCGACTCCTGCAGCTGCTATAACCATAGCGATAATGGGTGCTATTTGGAGGCCGCCACTTCCACGGGAGATTCTAGTCAAGATCATTTTGCAGGACTTGTCAGCTTCTTTGTAAAAAAAACAATTGAATTCTCCTTCAGTGATGGCTATTTCGTTCTACAGGCATACATAGCAGGTGAGGTCAGATATGAAGATACGGGTGAACTTAGTTAATAGTTTAGACAGGTCTAAGAGAGGCATTACCTTCATCCTGAAGCTAAGTATAGTATGCTTGACAGCGAGAGTATGACTAGGCAAAGATGATAGTTTGAGGGAATTATCCTTCCATTCGTGTACAAGCTTTTTAAGAAGAGCAGCACTAGCTTCTATATTCTCCTTATAGAGAATATCCCAGTGCTTAAAGCAATCAACGTTTTTGGTCATACAACAGATGGCTATTGCTATAGCTTCCTTGGCTAGAACAGGATTTCCTGTAACAACGATAATCCATTACTACTCTATTTGGCGAGCGGACAGGGAGAGGGTAGCAGAAAACTCAAGGATCCAAGGTTTTCGTTTGTTACCATAACATTCTCCAGCTAATCTCAATGAAAACGTGAATATCTGTTTCACTGCGTTGCTTCCTGTCGAACTCTCTGGTGCAAGGGCTACTTCCTTCAACAAGGGATAGATTGCCTCAAACCTCTTTGTTGCCTGTGCGCACCATGCTTGTGATCAGAAACGAGAATGGCATCAAGGTTTTGCTTTGTTTATATAAATTCCGACACTACTACTAACCTCTACTCTGGAGGATGAAGCAGGAAATGTATGTTGTACCAAGATCTTAAATGAAGAAGGTGGAATTAGCCGCTCTCCCTCCCTAACAGCTTCATTTACAAGTATGGTCTGGGCCTCTGGATTCAACAAAATCCTAAGTGCATAAACAGGATCAGATGGTTGTTACACAATGATAGATATACAGCAGAGGAGGGAGACCACAAAAAAAAAACTGGACTCACATCTCAACAAATTGCAGGATGAGATCCATTGCCTGAGGGCTGTAGCAATTGTTATTACCGACTAGTGGCAGCAAGTTACACGCCCATGAATACAAGCCAGCGGATAAATCACCTTGGGAGGCCTGTCACCATTTAGAAAGTTGGAAAGTTTAATAATACACAAATTTCAAAACTCACGGTAGTCCTAGTTCACAAAAAAAAAAAAAAAAATGAGATTAACCTGAGCCATCATCCAAAAAATAACCGGAAGCTTGTCCTCGCCTTGATACGTAGGTCTCTCCCTCAGCTTTGGCAAAACAGTAGTCAAAGCATCAGGTTTACTACGCAACACCATCGCTAATGCAACAAATGCTCCCACCTACAAGTACACTGGAGTCAGTCAGACAAAGGTAACTGAAAACACCATTCAGTCACACAAAAAATTGATGCAAATTACCTTAGATTTGTCAGAATTAAGTTGTTCAACTTTGACAACTCCAGGCCATTCAGTGAGAATGAGATCAGACGCCCACAGTACAAAGGCACGTAGTGTAGTCTCAAATGGAAGTTTGTTGATAAAATCAACTGAGGTTTCGTAAATAGGTGTAGGAATTTGAGAAAACGGAACCTATTTATTAAGAAGCAAGACATCAGCTTGAAGAATCTAACCTATAGACGACTTGAGATGCACAAAAACGTATAAGAATATATATAAAAAGCTCACATCGATCAGTGTGGATGAAGGAGTCTCCTTGAACATCTTGACCCATTGGAATGATACTTGGGAAAGTTTATCCCCAAAGTAATCGACTAATATCAATATCTGCTTCTCCGGGATAGGCCAATGCTTGTCCTATTAACAAACAAACAAACAGGAGTAAATTTTGATTACTTGGTTTTCGAATTGAACAAGCCGAATTTCACATCGCATGCACTTACCAATACTTCGCGTAGGTAAGCCGCAAGATCAGAGGGAACGATCTCCGCTACAGCTTCGGTCAGAGACACTATCGCCTTTTCGGTTTCTTCCGTCGCCGCACCACCACCGTTCGATTCATCTCCCGCATCAGTTTCCGCCGCCACAGCTTCGGGACAAGACACTGATAATTCCTCCTCCGCCTTCGGATCCCTTAGGGTTTCTCGCTTGCCCTTTCTTTTTCCCATCCTCTCCCTAGCGTGGAGAAAAAAAGATAAACAGACGATGAGGGGGCTTGACCTGACCGGGTTAGTTATACACGCATCATCCGAGTTGGACTAGTCATGACCGGCTTGAAATTTGTTCTGCTTAAACTTAATCACCAAAATTTGACCAAAATAAATAAAGTATATTATATATTTTTATAACTAAATAAATTAAATTATATTATAGATTTAGATAACTAAATCAAATTTTGTCAATAGCCATTTATTTGATTTTTTCTTTCCACTATTTTATTTAAACTTATTATACAAAATATATTATTTACCGTAATCGACTGCAGTGCAATAAAATAAAAATGTAACATATTCTAATCTTTACAAATCCGGTGTTATTCAAACATGGATTTTAAAAAGTCTAATGAAATCCAATGTCATTGAACTGGTGATTTTAAAATGAAAGTTTAGCACTAGGACACCGTTTTCAACTTTCTTATTGCGCTTTAACACCGTTTCGATCCAAGACACCCTTTTGGACTGTGATTTGACAAAAAACTCCTTATCTAAACTTGTGAACACTTTTGGTAACATTGTTTCACGGTTCACGTTCACCCACCAAAAACTGGTTTTTTTTTATTACTTATATTTTTAATCCTAATAATAATTAAAAAATAAAAAGTTCCTATCCATCAACACCCAGAAAAATCTCTAGATCCCCTCTTCATTAGAGGTGTCAGACGGGCCGGCCCGCGCCCATCTGGGCCTGTCCGCGATGGACATTATTTGTTTTTGGACCGCAACGGGTCGGCCCGCTAGGACCACGGATATCAAAATAATGTCCAAGTCCGCTCCGTTAAACCTAACGGGTTAACGGGCCTATATTTAATATGTTAGTATAAATAAAAATAATAATTTTATACTAAATAAATTATATTATTAATATAAAATTTTAAAAATAACTTTCAAATTACTATTTTTCATAAATATTTTGTTTTTAAACATTAAAATTCTTTACATTATTACATATCTCACATATTCCTGCTTTGATTTAGGCTAAGCGACGCTCCTGGAATAGAGCAAAAATTAAGTTTAAGAGACGGACGCGTGGCGATCCATGATTGGGCGAAGAGGAAAAAAACAACGATCGTTTCTCATTCTCCTCTCTCTCTCTCTCTCTCTCTCTCTTCACACGTTTTCATCTTCTCAGGCGATAGAGAAAGCCATTGCTTCTACCCTCCGATCCGCCACAGTTTCTGACCTCCGGCCGACCTTCCGGAGCTATCTCTTGAATGATTTCTCTCTCCTCACCGACGAAGATGCTTCAATGGCTTCCTCTTCTTCTTCCAACTATGGTATATCATGTATCCCTCTTCTTACCCTTTTGTCTCTCTTACTCTAAAGTTTTAGCTTTTTGTGAGTCAATTGATGTTTTTAATATATCGATTTAGAGAGTTGAAGAAGAGTACAAAATTAAAGGATTGATCTTTGAGTTTTGATTACAGGGAAAGAAGTAGAGAGAGTAAATGGGTCAACTGAGATTGGAGATTACAAGCAACCACTGGTCTGGATTGACTTGGAGATGACTGGTATGTTGAACTCACAGGTTCATGATGTATAAAAATCCTGCCTTTGAATGCTAATTATAACTTTCTTGTTGAATTTTTGGTCAAATAGTTTAGTGTTCTAAATTGGATGAATAATGAGATCGAGCCATAAAACAATGGATTGAGTAAAGAGCTAATCTTGATTGCTTTATTACTGTTTGTGTGGTTAGATGGGTTCTGAAAACCCATCACTGGAACTGTTTCTGAATACCAATGCAGGTTATGATCTGATTCAAACCAACAACAGTAATGTCTTTACTGATCCTGATTGTTTGACGTTGTTTTGATCTTTGTTTTCTGTTATTGGTAAATCTCAGGCCATTGTCGAAGACAGTGAGGTTCAATGTGTTGAAGGTGATCCCAGCTGGGTCTTCTTCTTCTTTTGGAAAGAAGGATTTCACTAGAATTTAAAGGTAGCTATTTATGTTAGTTTATGTTCCTGGATAGAAGCTGAATTATGATATTTTATGGTGATTTTCATATTGAATCTTCCCAACATGGATCAATATAAAGAGCTAAACTTGATTGCTTTATTACTGTTTGTGTGGTTAGATGGGTTCTGACGATGAGGATGAGTCGGATGAAGAAAATGTAGAGGATGAAGCAGTTTTAAAGGCGGATCCTCTAAAAGTAAGAAGATTCCAAATGGTAAAGCAATGAACAACACAATTGCATCAAAGAAGGCTAAAGCCGCGTCTCAGAACAAGTCATAGGTAGAAACCAAACAAAAGTGAAGAGAGGTACCCAAACCACCCGTCACTTTAAACCTCCCAAAGGTGGACCAGAAAGGGTTCCTTTCCTCCCTTATTGGCTTCCTCCATTTATCTAGTTCGTTGGTTATATGAGTTGTGTGGTTCAATTTTAGGTACCCTCCACCTGCTTGGATTGCTATGATTTAGTTTGAGACCATATTTATGTTCCCTTTTTGACATTATTAATCTATGGTTCGTTGCAATTATTAATATATCGATTTAATGAGTTGAAGAAGAGTAGAAAAATTAAAGGATTGATCTTTGAGTTTTGATCACAGGGAAACAAGTAGAGAGTAAATGGGTCAACTGAGATTGGAGATTACAAGCAACCACTGGTTTGGATTGACTTGGAGACATGTTTACACCACTTTGACACTCAGTTTCATAATTACAAAATATATGTATGTTAATCTATACGTATTCACATCTCGTTAATTAGAGTTTGATTTACAAATCAAAATGTGGTGTAACGTAACAGTGGTAAATATGGACAATACATAGGTTTTTTGTGGGTGAAATGTGATTCTTAAGAGCTGGTTTGGGATGTTTTAACACAAAACTGACATTAAAACTACGAAAATAACTTTTTAGATGTTAAAAATCCAAACTGATGGAGAGCATATATGGATTAAATTTTCTAGAAATCAAATTTAAAATATTTGTACTTTATGTTATAAATTGTATATGATGTATGTTTTAAAATTTTAAGTTTGCAATAATTATAAAGTTTTCTAAAATTACAAATTTTAATTTAATTTGATTTTTAAATATATTTTTTTCCTAAGAATACCAAATTAAAAGCCTACCAATAAAGACACCTCAAAACTAAAAAAGCACGAAAGCCCTGTAGCCCTGTTAGGGCCGGACCGAGCCGGACTCAAACATATAAAGACTTTACGGATTTCGTTTTGGGCCGGGCCGGGCCAGCCCGATTGACATGCCTGAGTATGGATAATGCTGCTCTTAGCCAACTTTGGAAAAGTAAACCGACCGCCTCATAGTTTATTAATAATTATAAACTAGAGGATAGCCCGTGCGGTAGCACGGGTGACGTTCTTGAATCATTAATAAAATTGTATTTCTTTTAAATTGTTCTTATCTAAGGTAGTGTTTATTTTTCATACCGTAAGTGTTTAGCAAATAAGATGTTTTTGGACATGCCTAGTCGGTTCGACTGATTAATTTACGACCCGAACATTGGACACTTTTTCGATTTGAGTTTAGTGTTGATAACTGATAATCTTAAAAACAAAAAAAAAACTGCCATTAACTTGTGGCCCTATGAACCAGTCAGATTTTAGTTTACAAAATCTATATGAATTGGAAGTAAAATATAGAATTTTAATTATTTTAGAAATTATAAAACTTTATTATTTTTCAAACAAAAATAAATATAACTAAATTTGGTTATCAAAAACCCGTGAGAAATTGTTTTTTTTTTTTGTAATTTTTATTATTTTCAAAATAAAATAAAGAATATAGATTTGGTTGTTGTGTATTCAAAATAAAATAAAGAATTTTAGGAATATAGATTATGAACTTTGATATTATTGTACTTTTTCATAATATATTTCTAATAAATATTATAAAATGTAATATTTATAGTTTCAGTTTCACGTATATTCAAAATTTGATAAACAAAAATAAAATAGGTTCAATATTATCTAAAAAATATTTTTTTGAAGATTTAATCATAAATGCATTTATTTATAGGGAGAGATGGAGTTAATGGGAAAATTATGTTTATAATTTTAGAGCTACGATTGTGAATAGAAATACATCTTGATCAATGTATATACAAACTTGACATTGTTTATACAAACTAAAAATGAACATATTTTATACAAACTGGAGAATGTCTAAAACTATTTAAAAACAATCAAACAATAAAATATTAGAATAAAAACTCTAAACAATTAATAAAAAAGCTTTATGATGATAAAGAAAAGTAAAATTGCTACGCTAATACAATATATCAAATATTTTTTTGTTTGTGTTTATCGAATTGGTGTGATTAGGTGTTGTGAATGAGAACTATTTATAGTGTTTTGAGGAGATTCCAAGATATGATGTGCATAAGTAGAGATAATCTTGGTGAGCAAGTTTTAAAAAATATTAAGATTGTGATTTTGTTTCTAGTAGAATTTAGAAAGTACTTAAAGAATATGCTGTATAATGTTTTTTAATTTGTATAGAATGAAATGTCGTATTTTGCTATGGAATTATTCCTTAGATTTAAGAGAATATATTCATAAATATTTCGATTAGGGTTTGTGAAACCCTAACCGAAAAAGATCGTTCATTTCCATTTGAAGATTTATTCATAACCTTCTTTAAATGGGAGACCGGGATTCCCCGATTTCTTTGGTTTGATTCGATTCGTTCTCGGTTAAGGCTGGTATGACGTTGGTGCCAATTCCTACACCAACAAGATCCACATATTGCAAGCATGTTTAGGAATGGCTCCTTTAAACCACACAGTACTGTGCCAACTTACACTAGGAGCTCTTGGTCTAAGTGATGACCACTTGAGAGAAGAGGAGAAACCATCGCAAGCTTTGCCATCCACCATCCAAGAATAACGATCTTCTTCAACAGAGATTTTTGGGGAGGTAATTTCAGTAAGGTGAATTTGTGGCTGAAGGGACAGGTTTGATCTTGGCGCCGCTAAACACCAGCCCTCCTCATTGCAAGCCTCATGGACTTTAGCATTAAGCGGAACGCGAAAGCTTCTTGGCCCATCTTTTCCAATAAATTTGATAAGAGCTCATTTTGCCAGTTATGGACCACATGTCCACAAATATGAGGTACAATATAAGTTGTAGTATAAGAAGCAAAGGAGGTGCTCCAGTCAACAATTTGGAATGGTATCCATGACTGCTTTTTGGTGTAGAACATCTGGTTATATGTCATGGTCACTTGTTTCACCAACTAAGCAAATGCGATGAAGTGGATGTGACTATGAGCGAGATCACATTTGAGTTCAACCCTAATCTCTTTGTTAAATCCCAACCGGTAAGACCAAAAATTAGATTAATAGTTTAAATTTGTTTGATAAAAACGTTTGAATATAGAACTATTATATATATATATATATATATATATATATATATTTAATGTTGTTTAGAAATTCTATTTTTATCTTAATATTAACAAAATTATATATAACATGTTGCGACATCTTATGTTTTATTTGACACTTATCATGATCACGTGAGTTAGTAACTTCAAAAACCAAGTTTCGACATATAAACTCATTTAATTGTTAAACTCAAACCATAATTTTCATTTACAAAGATAAACCATAATTCTCATTTATCATTTATACTCGTGAAGGACCCGCACGTACGTGCGGAGTTATTTTTTATAAAATTACAATTTTTTATGTAGATGCTATTTTGGTAAAATTTTGTTATATGAATTTGTTTGATAAAATATATATAGACATACAATTGTAAAATATAGATATTGTATCATGTCCCTTTCCGTCTCGTCCCGATCCTTCTCGCCCCGACCCGTCCTGTCCCGCCCCGCTCCGTCCCGCCCCGTCCCGTCCCGTCCACTACCTATCATAAATTTTTGTCCCACAATCGTTTCCTTTTAAAACATAATCATTTGCCAATGTTTATTGGGTCGACGGTTTTTTACACCCTGTACAATAAGCTTTCTCAGTTTATCCCCCAAACTTTATTGCTCTTAATATAACACCATTAAAAACTTAATCCTTTATAAAACTACATACACTTTTTTCCTACATATAAATACGCATCCAATCAATCTTACAATTACGATGCCTAAACCGTGATTAACCATAAAATAGCGTTTACTTTATCGCGATTAGAATAACCCATTCACTAATCAAATAATCCGACATTGATACGACGTCGTTGTCATTTGTTTACTTGAGACACAAAAATCGAACTGAGAAAATCTAAAGCAATCAAAACTAGGGTTCAAGCTACATTGACGATGTGTATCAAAGAGTTGGTTTGTGATAGCGATCCAGATGATCCTACTTTCAATGGTGAGAGTGACGATTCAAGCGACAGTGACGATCCAGTCGAGAGTGATAACAATGCAAGTGACGATTCAAACGATGGTGATGATGCAGTCTATATAAATTATTAATTTCGAAATTATATTAAAATATTATATTAATATTAGATATGTTTACGTATATTTAAAATAGATATGTTTACATATATTTAATTTTGAATTTAATTGTCCACTTTTTATGGTAAAAGATTATTATGATTTTCATAAATATAGATGGTTTTTGTTTCTGTTTTTTTTTTTTTTGCTGTCATTGATTCTGTTTGGAAACATGTTTAATTTTCATGAATTTTTTTTTTAAAATTGGGAGGTATCTGGCTTCTTGTTGTCCTTCCCAATTAATAGTATAGATACCCAAACCAACAAATAACTTGTTTTAATTGTAAAATTAAAGTTTAAACTTTAATCGTCTTCTGTAAACAAAAACCAACATATATTCTCGTTTAACTATAAATTTTAAATCACTATATTATTAATAAACCAAATTGACATAACTGAAGTTAGGTTATTTTTTTAATTTGATTAATAATTTTTTAATATATAATTCCTTACAATATTTATTTCATATATTTCCTTTTTCGATAAGATTAATAATAGTTCTATTTTATCTAAATATCAACATCTTATCGTTTATAATTAACACATCTCACGATTTTGTTAATAGCTAACTTTGAAAACCAAGTAGGAACCGAGTTATATTGATGGGTGGGCTTCTAAATTGAGTGTAAATTATTCAATATGTCAACAAATTTTGATGACATCTTACAAGGACGAGCACCAAAATGCAAGTATGTAGTCAACGGAAACCAGTATAGTTTGGATTACTATCTTACAGATGGAATTTATCCAAAATGGGCTACATTTATCCAATCGATCCCACTTGCACGAGGTGATAAACTTTCTTTATTTGCAAACCGGAAAAAAACTTGCCGTAAAATTGTAGAGCGTGCTTTTGGAGTTTTGCAAGGTCGATTTGCAATTGTAAAAAATCCGGCTGAAAGAATAGGAAGTTATTATGGGGGTATAATAATTATAAATATGTAACATACGCTGTCATACAACCTTAAGAAGAAGAAAAAGAAAGCGTAATTTTCCAAGTTACTCAGCCGAGGATTATCGACTAATGGGGAGGGGAAAGAGAAATCGAGAAAACCTAAGGGATTCGATCAAATCCAATCCGAAGGCGGAGGAAACTGAAGTGGGAGATGAATCGAACGGTGGTGGTGCGACGGAGGAGGAAAGTGAAGGGGATATATTTTTTTATACGGAAGATTTTCAGCCGAAATCGGCGGCGGAGGAAACCCAAAAGGCGATAGTGACTTTGTCAGAAGCGGCGAGGAAGATCGTTCCCTCAGATCTTGCGGCTTACCTCGCCAAAGAAGAGGTTTATGCTCGATACATTCGGTTTAATCGATAAACCACAAAATCAAAATTTCAAATTTTGACCTTTTGTTTGTTATCAGGATGCTCCGGAGCTCGGCTTATGGAGCTTTTACTTTTACCTAGAGAGCGCATTTCCTGAAATATCATCACAATGGTTGAACGTGTTCAATGAAGTTCCTTCGTCCGATGTGAGCCATTTCTTATACAGTCTTTGTGATATTATTTTAAAATCTCACTTGAAAGAAGACTTGATGATATCTTATATCGCTGGCTAATGTACAATAACAGGTTCCTTTATCTCATATTCCTCAATCTGTCTACGAAACATCACGCCATTGGATCAAGCAACTTCAAACTACTAAACACCCTACTTTCATTATGTGGGCGCTTGATCGAGTTCTCACTGATTGGGCAGCACATGCACAAGATACCTGTTTCAAATCTCAGGTAATATTGTGTGATTAAATGGTGTATTCAAGTTACCTTTGTTTGTCTTACTGTTTTTGTACTTGTAGGTGGCATCATTTGTTGCATTAGCGATTGTGGTGCGTAGTAAACCTGATGCTTTGACTTCTATTTTGCCGATGCTGAGGGAGAGACCTCGGTATCAAGGCGAGGACAAGCTTCCGGTTCTAGTTTGGACGATGGCTCAGGTTACTGTCAATGTTACTTTTTTTTTTTGTGAACTAGGAGTACCACGAGTGTCTGAAGTTTGTGTTTTTGTTAAATTTTTTCAACTTTATAAATGGTGGCAGGCCTTCAAAGATGATTTATCTGCTGGCTTGTATTCATGGGCGCATAACTTGTTACCACTAGTTGATAATAACCAGAGCTACAGCCCTCAGTCAGTGGATCTCATCCTGCGTTTTGTTGAGATGTGAGTCCAGTTTATTTTTCTTGTGATCTCCCTCCTCTGCTGTATGTAACAACCATCTGATCTTTTTTTTCTTTTTCTTTTAATCAGCATTTTGTCGAAGCCAGACGCCCGGACCATACTTTTAAACGCTGCTGTTAGGGAGGAAAATCGGCTGATTCCACCTTCTGCATTTGAGATCTTGGTGCGGCTTACATTCCATGCTTCATCCGCTAGAGTAGAGGTAAGGAGTAGTGTTGGAATTTATATAATCAAAACAAAACCTTGATGCGGTTGTCAGTTTTGATCACAAGCATGGTGCGCACAGGTAACAGAGAGGTTTGGGACTATTTACCCCTTGTTGAAGGAAGTAGCCTTTGCACCAGGAAGCAACACACTGAAACAGATATTCACGTTTTCCTTGAAACTAGCTGGAGAAGGTGTAGATGCAGGAAATCCTTTTCTAGCCAATGAAGCTACATCAATTGCTATCAGCTGTGTGACCGAAAACGTTGATTGTTTTAAGCAATGGGATATTCTCTACAAAAAAAATATAGAAGCTAGTGTTGCTCTTCTTAAAAAGCTTGTAGACGGATGGAAGGATCATTCCCTCAAACTACAGAGTGATACTCTCGCTGTCAATGATACTGTACATAACTTCAGGACAAAGGTAATGCCTTTCTTATAGCTCTTCTATGCTATAACTAATTTCACCTGTATCTTCATATCTGACCTCCCCTGCTATGTATGCCTGTAGAACCAAAAAGCCATCACTGAAGGAGTATCCGATTGTTTTCTTTACAAAGAAGCTGACAAGTCCTGCAAACTGATCTTGAGGAGACTCTTCCGTGGAAGTGGCGGCCTCCAAATAGCTACCGCTATGTTTATAGCAGCTGCAGGAGTCGCTGCAGGAGGCGTTGCAGGAGCCGCACTTGTTCTATCTTCTTAGTAGCATAATGAGAAGCAAATTCAGCCTCTAGACGATGATCAAGAATTGGTTGTACTTGACCCTTTAAATATTATTTTGCCAAAACCCTCTTCTCTTCTCTAGTTTCACTATCATCATAAACATATCTTAATATGTATGTACTCTGTGTGGAGTGGATGTATATATTTTATTTAAGCTACTTCGAAAGCTACAAATCTATTGACAGGAATGCGACTTGAAAAGTCAGTCAGGTGGAGAGAGAAAAAATGAAGATTCTGTGTCTCATTTCGATTGTTTATAGTGCCTTGTTGCAAAGCAGATGTGAATATTTTCATATTAGAATTTGTTATTTCTATTGCTTTCGCCGATCAAAGGACAACGGACATATATTTAAGGCCCATAAGTTTGATAATGGTCAAGCCCAAAAGCCCAATTTCCAACTTTAGCATTTTTTTTATTTTTTTTATTGGCGAAGGCGAGAAAGAAAAATTTGACGCCGGTGATGCGAATCGATTGTGTACAGTTGAGAAGAGGAGAAAATGATGAGTGAGCTCGTCGTGTGAAGTCGAAGACGAAGAAGAAGAAGAAGAATGGTGGCTACTCCGTGGTATTTTGTTGCTGTACTTCTCACCATTCTCACCAGCTCTCAGGTTCCAATTCCTTTCTTCTTTGCTTCGTCTTCTTCTTCTTCTTCTGTCGCGCTAAATATGATCGAATCGAGATTTTGTTATCGAGATTGTTATCTTCGCTCCATGAATTCTTAGAATTATGTCGAGTTTATAGATCTTGAGTTCTCGGTGGTGTTACTGTCGCCAAATCTAATTCTGGATCATGTCGGTTAGAGTGTGATATTGCTCTTTTCCAAGGCGTCAAGCAGTGTTAGATTAGATACTCAATTTGCGTTTGCGAGTGCTCGATTGCTTCTCTGACGATTTAGGGACCATTTCATTCTATTTTGGCTAGGTTTCTTAGAATTCATTCTGTCTCACTTTATGCTTGTGATTTTGTAGATTGACTGTTCATTATTTGTAGCTGAAGAATTTTTGCTGAGTGTTGTGTTTCCACTGAAAGCTGTTATTATTAGTCTATAGAAGTCTTGATCATCATACTTTTATGTTCTGTGTTTAGGTTTGAGATTGAAATGTTGGCAATGATATTCACGGGATAGATTTCGAAAGTGATAGATAAGTTTTTGTTTCTATTTCTCTCACTGAGTAAAATTATGTTACAGGGGATTTTAACAACTCTTTCTCAAAGCGATGGAGGTTATAAGTATGATTACGCAACTGTACCCTTTCTTGCTGAACTTTTTAAGGTATCTTGTTCTTCTCTAAAAAGCTTGATGCTGGTACTGGTTTTTTTGCATTTCTTATTTAGCTGCTGAGTTTGTTTACTTCTCTTCTACAGCTGATCATTTCTGGTTTATTTCTCTGGAGAGAGATGCGGACATCTTCTTCAACTACTGCTAGGATTACTACGGATTGGAAGAGTGTGCGCTTATTTG